TTGTGTTCTGCATTCTGATTGGCTAAACAGTCTCTCCAGTACAGTAGTTATTTGTAAAAAAAAAAACATTTATACAGTACTTTTATTTGTTAAACAAATGCTTTGGCCTGTAAAAAAGTTTTGTTTTTTGTTTTGAATGTATTATGGAGTATTTCATTGTATAATAATTGTAAAAAAATAAAAAATAAAGGTTACTACTTCACGGATTTCGCCCATCACGGGTTCTTTTTGGAACGTAACCCCAGTGAAAAACGAGGGTTCACTGTGCACAACTCCCAGAACTCAATCTTTTGTATACTTTAGCAGCAGTTCCAGCATCAATCGTCTTCAGGTTTGTCTCCGTGCCTTTGGTCCATCTAACCTCTGGACTTTTTGTCCATTCTTAGTGTCCATTCCAGGACATTTCACTGTTTGTCTTTAAACCAGTGGAATGTTGCTTCAGTGTTTTTAGGGTCATTGACCTGCTGGATGGTGAACCTCTTTTGAGACTCACACCAGTTTCTCAGTATCTGCCTGTTGATGGAAAGCATCCCCACAGCATGCTGCTGCCACCACCATGCTTCACTGCAGGGATGGTGTTCTCAGTTTAATGAGAGGTGATAGATCTGCCTCAGTCCTGATGTTGTCCCCGTTGGCCTAAAGTTTTGTGGTCTCTTCTGAAGCAGCTGCTTCTTCCACGTGTTTTCTCCTGCCACTCTCCCGTGAAGCGATCCTTCCATCTTCAGATGCGCTGCTCAGCTTCATCAAGGTTTTCTTTGTCCTCCTGGATGTTTCTCTGATCTATACCCTCCTTACTCGATATGTGAGTTTTGGTGGACGACCCTCTCAAGGCAGGTTTGATGTGGTGGCATCATCTTTCCATTTCATAATAATGGATGAAACAAAAAAGTAAATCTTTTCATCTTCGTCTCTGACTTGCGTGGAGAACTCCTTGGTCTTCATGATGCCTCTCGCTTGGTGGCAGCCCATACTACTTAGAAGTGTTGAACTGGTGGTTTAAATTGTTTTAAACCTCTTTAAAACATTTTTTTTTTCCCCCATGCAACTTGGTGTAACTGAGAATTATTGCTTTTAATTAATCCCAACTTGCAACGCAATAAAAAATACATATTTCCACGTGGGATGAATAGTTTTCCAACCCCCTATAAAAGCAGTGGGGTTGAGAATAATCATGATAAATAAATAGTTACAGACGGCCAGTCATTTCCTTTAAGGTACCTTGTGAAGCCATAATGGAGAAGTGTCCGCCTGCTGCTGCACTGCTGCCCAGCAGAAGGAGTCCACATAAGCAGCTTGTTTCCAGGAAAAGTTAGTGGGAGCGAAGCAGCTGATCTGTGTCCCTGAGAAAAGAAAATAAAGATTCAGAGCTGACGGACATTCCCATGAGTGTCATTCTTCCCGCGCGGCCTGATTAGTTGGAGTTGACTGAAGCAGGCTTTGTCTCAGTAATTAGTAACACTACGGTGGAGGACAACACCGTTCACAAATGACCCAGATACCCAGACAGTTATTTATAGGGACAGTGGTTATCATATTTACATGCTTGCAAGTCCAAGAGTGGGTCAAACAGACGAACTGGGCTTGTTCATAATAAATATTTATCGTCTGCTGCTGTAAGGCAAAGTTTGACCATAATGTTTTTGTCTGTGTCTGTTAGCTAAATAGCTCATGAACCACTATACAAATTCTAATTCAACTTTTAGGTTATGGTAATCGGATATAAACCGACAGCCGATTAGCTATTAGAGCCAGTCAAATTAAAGATGGTCACTACAGCTAATCTTCAAACGCTAACACAAAAATGGCTGCAACTCAGGCGATTTTACATGTGTCAAGCTCAAACCTGATGCGGTGGTAGCTAAGAGTAGTTCAAAACACATACTCTGAGTGTGATATCTTGCTGATTTTTGCATAAATCGATTTTTAAGGTTTGACCAAAACAGATACAACGCCATTATTTATCAATATAAGATCTCTGTTAATAACTGGCATGAAAGGCAGCAGGCAATGTGCATTATTCCTTCAAGGAATTATATATATATATTATTGTTTTTCTATTTGCATAGTTCAAAAAAAAATTATTCTACTCAGCCTTACACTATAATTTACATTACTTTCACACCACTTTATTAATAGATAGAATAAAGTACAATATTGTTTTTTTTATTACTATTTTATACAAAAAATATCAGATTCTTTCATTCAGCCGGATCAAATTCTAAACTTTCTGCACCAGCGTTGAATAATTTAACCTTTTCTGTAACAAAATCTTGAAAAACCTGAACAAAACTGCTTGTTTCCACAATATTTGCTATGAAAAATGACCATTCACGGTCACACAAATGTGTCTAGTTCAAAGGACAAATTGATTATCGTCATTTGAGGCTTTTTCTCTGCACTCTGAAGAAATGGATCTTCTTGACCACAACACTTCTCAGTCCTATGGAAGTGGTTTCCTGAGCATGTTAATGGTGCATCTGCAGTCTGAATCATTTGCCTTCTGCATCCCATTAGTAGATCTGCTAATGGAAGACATGTTTTGTTTCTAAAATTAAATTAGTCTTGAACTATTTCCCTCGTGTTTGTTCATTCTCAGCTGTTTTGCAAAAAAAAAAAAAAAGCCTGCATCATTGTGAAGCCCTGTCTATCATGGACCATATGTCTCCATCATGGACCATATGTCTCCATCATGGACCATATGTCTCCATCATCAGCTGCATCAGTTCTGAGTCTGTCTGGGCGTGAAAAAGAGGGTGAGGGGATAAAATCCACACCCGGTTTTTTTCCCAATAATTATTTCCCCCCACACAAAAACTTACCTACTGACACCTCTTGAGCAAAAGCGAGCGAGATGAGAAACAAAGGCAGCCCCACAGCCAGAAACGTGACTATTTTGTCCACAGCCAGGTCCAGACGGACCCCTTTGTACTTGGCCTCTGTTGCATCCTTTAATAAAAAGTCCGAGAAGACGTACTCTGTGGCTACGGAGGCAATCGCCATCACAGAGGCAGTAAAAAATCCAACTAATTGATGGTTAGAGGCGTCGCCTTATGTTAAATCCGAACTCCGTCTGAGGTTTACCGATGAAACATCCGTGTGGTGGAGAAATAAAAGAATAGTTAAAACCCGGGATGAATCTATTGTTCACCCACCACCCTCACTACAACACCTGCTGTCCCGTTTCTGAACACTGGACCTCAGGCAGTGAGTGCTGGTCCGCTGACGGGCGCCAGAGGGCGCTAATGTCGCATTAGCCCACCCGTTAGCGACAGTTAGTATTATGTCTATGAGTCAAACCTGGAACTGTGTCCAAAAAAACTGGAAAAACATTCTAAATATTTATTTTGTCGGACTGGCTATAGTCGCCTTAACTTACTCTGAACCCTTTTTTTTTTTTTTTTGTATTTGGGGTGTGTAACTCTAAATTGTCCCTAGGTTTGAGTGAGAGAGTGAATGTTTGTTTGTCTCGTTTGTCTCTATGTGGCCCTGTGATGGACTTGCGACCCGTCCAGGGTGTACCCCGCCCCTCGCACAGTGATTGCTGGACATGGGCACCAGCGACCCCCGTGACCCAAAATGGAATAAGCGGGTAAAGAAAATGGATGGATGGATTTGGGGTATGTGGCGTTAATGCGATTTAAAAAAAAAAAGCTAAACTGTAACGCAAACGTAATTTTCGTATGACGTAAGTCGCGTCCCTCACAACAAAAACAACCGAATTCGCGACAGCTAGTTCTGCTTTCCGGCAAAGTCAGTTACAAAAAGCTGCGCGTTCTCAGGGAGACAGACAGATCCTGGAAAGAAGATGTGAGAAAAGAAGCATCGACGGGTAGAAAATGAAATAGTTTTTTTTTTATTTTTTATTTTTATTTTACTGGTATTGTTTAAAATCTTTGCTTTCGTTTGACCGTAAATGCAGTGAACGGCAGGTGGTTGAGAGGGCAGTTCTGTATTTGTTTATGATAAGGAACCGGATCAGTAAATGTTAATGTAGCGAATTTTATTGTTTGTTAAAATGCTAACTTCAATCTGTTTTAAGTGAACTAGTTCGACTAGTTAACCCAGCTAACAAGTATTCGTATAAACGTCGAATCTAACGACCATAACATTACTTAGCTTTTAGCTAACTCAACTTTATCTGTGTTTTGTGGCTTGCTAGAAACAGAAACTCACAAAGAAGGAGTTGTTACGAAACTAAGGCAGTTTAATCAGGCTGTGCAATCATAAATGAGTCACTAACTGTAATTGGTGTACTGTTTCACTGTGAACTAAATGCAAACATTTCTTTTTTGTTTGTTTGTTTGTTTGTTTGTTTACTCTTGAAAAGGTGAGCATGAGAGAGAAGAGAGATGGTGAGAGGCCCCTGGCGTTTGTATGATGGAAGGCTTGGAAAAGGAGAGCTCCAACTGTGGCTCTACACCCATCCCGTGGCTCATTCACCCCAAAACAGAAACCTCCAACCTGCTATGGAAACTCAAAGACTGCTTTTCCTCAAACGAGACAACTTCTGCACATCTGTCAAATAAAGACGTAGGTTCTTATTTCTACACATAAATTTAGAGCTGGAAGCGCCATTCGTTTGTGTTTTGCAAAGAAGACGTACTCTAATGAGGAAGTGTCAAAACACAAGCTGGTAACTGAAGAACTTCTTGGATGAACGTCAATGATCAATCATAGCATATAATTAAGTTTGGTAAAAGAGTAGAATTTGTTATGTAGCCTGCAATGTGTGTCCAAGCACTTCAGTGTGTGGCTCACACTGCCTTTTATTATTTTTTTTATATTTTTATTATCATAAACGCCACGTCGTGCAAGCTTGAGATTCAAAAGTCTTGTTTGTAACCCGTGTCACTCTGTTCTGTGCAAGAGATGTCAATCTATGCACTTTTTTTTTTTGCTGTGAGAGAATTGGGTATGCCACAAAGCTTCAGCTGAGATCAGTCCAGTGAGGAAAATTAAATTAAGCACTTGTGTTGATACTGTAATCAGTATTCGATGCACAATAGGGTGGTGCGACAATTCGAGGTCGACTTGTCCAGGGTGTACCCCACCTCTCACAGTGACTGCTATAGGCACCAGAAAGGTGAAAGAAAAAGCAGTTAAAAAAATAGATGGATGGATGACACTAAATAGCAAGGGATGAGGAAAAAGCAACTGTTCTGCTTAAGACGGGGGAAAATATGTCACAGTAGCAGTCACACAATTTTCCCAGAATTTTTCTGACTGCTTGATGTTTGTCATAGGTCGTCTTTGGCTGTAAGAGAGCTGCATCGTCTGTCAGTGAGCCTGTCGCGTTGAGCGATACAGTTCAAGTGCTTGACGAAAGATTTATTTATTTTCATTAAAAAACAGTTTTAGTTTCAGATAGCGCAGTGTGAACCCGGCTAAACTGTTAACAATTTCAAGTTACTCATTGATTATTCCCATTTACTACTTTAAACTTTTATCTACTTTGTTTACATCATATGACACCCCTACAGTGTATTTTCAGCTGTCTGTCATGCAACTATCTTTTTTTTTAACTAAATAATTTGGGAACCTGAGTTGTTTTTTTTGTTTTTTTTCTTCTAATATTTCAGAATATCCACATGGACAACAGAAAGGCTGTGTTGGAACTGAAGGATGTCCCTCCCCCACCTCCTCCTCCACAACTCTCTCCCCGCTCCCAGTTATCCCAGTCATTTTCTCTGGCATCTCTCTCTCTGCCTCCTCCCTGCTTGCTGCCTCCTCCTCAGCTTGCAAAAGAGTTCCACCAAAACCAGCCCCTACCAAAGCAGCAACAAGGCGAGCTTAGCCCCAAAGTAAGCATTTGCACCCACTGTGACTTCTGCAGCACAGATGGCTATGGCTTGTTGGGTGGCAGGGGTTTTGTTGGTAGCAGCATTGCTGGCACCAGTACATTTCCTACAGCCTCAAGTTGTCAGGGAGCGCCCATCAAAAGTAGCAATAATAGCAGGTTTGAGTCTTGTTCTGTAGCTTCATCGGTTCATCAGTATAACCATAACTTGAGCAGTGGTAATAGTACCAAAGAGACTAAATCCTTGCTCAGTCATGGTTTCAAACCTCAGCTGCCCTCTTCTGTTGCTACCTCTCAGCCTCTGTCATTACACCCCTACTTCCCCTGCTGCTCAGGGCTTCGCCACAACTGCTCAGCTGTGCCTCTTGCATGCAGTCAGCCTGGCACATCTCCCTCTTCTGCACCCCTGGCTTCCTCCGTGTCCTCGCTATCTACTCCCTTGCTAGGGCCTTGCCTGGCTTCTTCTGGTTTTAACACTTGTGGTGTGAACTGCAACCCATCACTCAGAGCATCTCAGGGCAGTGCACCCGGTGATCTCCCAACCCCCACAACAGTTATTACTTCAACCACCTCAGCGCACCGCCGCTCTAATTCTTTGCACCTAAATGTAGAACGCACTGTTTGTGGGACCAGGGCACGCTTCTGTCAGGAGTGCTTGATGATAAAGGTTGGTTCAGGCTCAATTTATTCACTTACTTTGTCATTTTTAAATTATTTTGTGTTTGCATAACTGTGGATATCAGGATTCTGTACTTACTGATCAGTTTATAAAAAAAAAAAAACTAATTTTGTGTTTACTTCTAAAGAACAATGGATTTTTTTTTTTTTTTTTATTAATATATGGTTACTTATTTCTGTAGTTATGTTTCAGTTTGCATTACTTTGTGTTGTTGTTTTGTTTTTTCTCTTAAATTTGTAGCCTAAGAAAGATTTGTCTTCAGAGTCTACGTTGTGGCCCATTGTTTCTATTCCTCAGACTGCTTCTGTCCCAATATGCAACGGCTGTGGCACATCCTCCGATAACATGGTGCTAATGCCGCCTACCACACTTGGGAAGTCTGGCCAGAAGTACGGTGAGTAGAGTTACAAGTAGTTTTGAGCTCTTGTCTGCTTTTATTACGATTTACTGTTTACTTGTTCATTTAAACGTTTTGGTGAATTGTTACTGGTAAAATGCTAAAAGTTATGGTTTTGTTAGGTTCTACAGAGAGCAGTGGTCCTGAGAACATCCCGCCAGTAGGTGTCTTTTGGGACATTGAAAACTGTAATGTTCCCACTGGACGCTCGGCTGAAGCCGTGGTCCAGCGCATTCGCAACAGATTCTTCCAGGGGCATCGCGAAGCTGAATTTATTTGTGTGTGTGATATCAGCAAGGAGAGTAAAGCTGTTATCCAAGAGCTCAACAACTGCCAGGTATTAAAATGATACAAAACTGCTGTGAACAATTTTCTTGTTCGTATATCTCACTGAGTTGAAGCTTATTTAATTTTATGGAGTTGATTTTGAATCCTACTGTACCGCTTGCCTTTTCATCAGGTTACAGTTGCACATATTAATGCCACAGCCAAGAATGCTGCAGATGACAAGCTACGTCAGAGTCTGCGGCGCTTCGCTGAGACCCACACTGCTCCTGCAACTGTTGTATTAATGTCCTGTAAGGTTTATTAGACCAACTAAAACGAACCACAGCCACGGTGCCATAAATACATCCATCATTATTTCTTCTCGTTGACAGCGGATGTGAATTTTGCCAGTGAGCTGAGCGACTTGCGTCATCGCCACGGTTTTCAAGTAATTCTCATCCACGGCAGCCATACGTCTTCAGCTCTGATGCAGCACGCCCATCGTCACGTGGCGTTTCAAGAAATCACAACAGATCTGCCACAGCGAATTCTTGCCAAAGCCCAGGTAGGCATTTCAGATGTTACATTGACGTCTAAAGGATGTTTTTATAATTTGTGCCATATCTACGGTAAGTAGTTAGTATTCAGAATTATAAACGAGATTATTTCAGCGTGAACTCGTCAAAAGTGAGGCTGTTTTTTTAGTTGTAATTTTCTGTACTGAGCTGCAATACTGTCAGACTTTTCAGACCTTTTTTTGAGTTTTTTCATATTTGTTTGTGTTTCTGGATAGTTGAGTTTCCACAGTCTAGACACGATTCTCCGTAATGGCAACAGCAAAATATTCAAAATATCCCATATTAATTAATACATTGATTGAAACTCCTCCATTAGTATTTTGTTAAACACTTCTGGCAGCCCCAAGTCCTCTAAAAACTTTCTTTTAAAATGTCTTAAAAATGAATGCTAAACCTTTTTCTGGAGCAGAATTTATTTATTTTTTTTAATCAACAGTGCCAAGTTTTCATGCCCGTCATATTTTCTGTAGAGATCAGACCCCAAATTGGTCATAAGATGAAGACTATTAGTTTTACTTTATTTCAGCAGTATATCGAAAACAACTTTTTTTTAATGAGGACCCTTGTGCTTTGAATTCAGGTTGTTTTTTTTTTTTTTTAATCTTTTGTAGTTAGTATCCCAACTTCTAAATGATGCTGCCTTTAGGTTCAAGTTTCTTTATTGTCGTTCGCATCCCATGTGGTACATGAGGTGGAATGAAATTGTGCACTCAAGGTCCCAGTTGCACCCAAAAATAGCAAAAATGTAAAGTATAAGAAACTTTTGAAATCATTGAAGCACAAATTTGGTTTTCTTTACCTCAGAATTGTGATAGTAATTGAGGCTATTTGACTATAAAAGTTTGATCAGTTGTGTTTTTCATCATTATTCTCAGTCACACACTTTGAAGCCTCTTCCTGCCTCCAGTGAAATGGCTGAAGTGGTGGTGGGTTAAACTGAATCAATAGCTCAGTGGAAGTGGTCGCAAAGCTGAGCTGGTGAGAGTTTGTGAAGCTTCGGGTCTTTTGTGATGGGACCTGACCAGTTTGACTGATTGATTCATGTGTGGGCAACTTGTATTTGCAGCTATATTGTTTGTGGGAAAAGGCTGGGCTCATCTCAACAATGTTTTATATTTAGTGATTGTCAGACTTTGACTCGAACTGATCTGTACAGCTGAGATGAGCCAGATGTTTTAAGAGTTCATCACAGGTGGTTTAATCTTTTTAGCACCATGAATCAATTTTCTTGTATTTTATTACCAGGTTATTTAGGTCTTCAGGCTATTTTCCCGTCATGAAGACTTCGTTTTCCATCTTCTATAGCTTGAAGTTTTGCGGGGTGCAGTTTCTCCAGTGTATTAGATAAATCCAAAATATGGCTGTGGAGAACGCACAGAGTCTGAAAGCTTACCGTCAGTATTGTATAAGCCCTTTTAGCGATTCTTTTGATCTAAACTGCTGCAGTTTCTCATTGTGATGTAATTGTACAAACCATACGGGCGCAATGTCTCTTCCTCCCCTCCCTCAGCCCAGTTTCAACCTCCTCTATGTGCACAACCTTCCCACCATCTGTGACAAGAGCCTGAAGAATGCTGTGAAGCTCAGGCTCCGTCGCCTCTCAGACAACTGTGGTGGCAAGGTGCTCGGCCTGTCCCAGGGCACAGCAGTCCTCCGCTTTGGCAGCCCCGAGGCGGCGGCACGCGCCCGCAAGAGAATGGAAAACGAGGATGTTTTTGGCCACCGGATCAGCCTCTCTATTTCTCCAAGGCCTCGAAACAAAGCAAGTCCTGAAGTTGAGCCAAAGTCTCAACCCCACCTTTTGCCTCAAGCTAAACCCCAGACCTTTCAAATCCAGGGTCCAATGTTTGCCCCTCCCCCACCCATACCCTCCTTCTCATTTTTGCCTCTGGAGAACCCCAGATCGCCTAGAAGGTCGCGGCGAGCAGCCCGCCCATGCCCCACCTCTGGCTCTTTGCCTGAGAGGCCCTACAGCCCCAGGAGGGGGTCCAGTGGGCCTCCTGGTGGTGTTCCAGCCAAACCCCATCAGGTCAGCAGACTCGATCATGCCTGCCTGCCCTCAGCCTCCTCTGCCCTCTGTTCTTGTCTGGGCTGCCATAATCCATAGTCGCTTCTCGCCTCAGTGTCCTAATTTAACTAACAGCTTTAACTGCATGCCTGCCTCCATGTGTCTGCCTGTGCTAGCATGATGCTTATTTTTTCTTTCCTCTGGCTTCTCTGCATGTTCATTCGTCATATATTAATACGATTACCTCTGTAGAGTTTTGTGTTTTGTGTCTGACTACATGCATCTACTTTGTAAGTACTTTGTTTGGTCCAGTGGTTGTTTTATCCCTTCAATTATTTTGTTTGCATGTAGCCCACAATAACTAAAACCTGGCTGTGGTTGCTAAATTAGCTTGTTTTGTGCCTAGTGACGACAACTAAAGAAACCAATGTCAAATCTGTGAGAAAGTTTCATCAGGTCAAAATATCTTGTTTATAAGCTCACTGGAGCCAAATGTTTTGCACATCTACTCTTAATTGCTGGATTTAAACTTATAAATGTGAAATAGTTCTTTTAAAATTTTGAATGAACGTCTCTGGTTTGATCCAAAATGTTAGTTTTCTCATTGTGGTTTGTCCTGACCTTGTTTCCATATGGCCTAACAAATCTTACTAATCACTTCCTGTTGCATTTACACACACACTGAAAAGACGAACTAGATCCAGGAATATTGAACGTTTTCCTCCCCTCTGTGGTTTAGGAGCTGGGAAATGTGGAAGCCAAGCCCAGGATGGGCCCGCAGCCTCTGGACAGAGGTCGTGCTGCTTCCTCTTCACCCCGCAGTAATAATGAGAGAGGAGCTCTGGAGCAAGTGTCTCTGCCTGTCCTCAGAGGAGAATCCATGAACAGGAAGAGGTAAACACTGGCAAGTTCTTTAACTCTAAAGATCTACTTTATGTGCAGTTGTAGGTTTCACTGAACATGAACATTTCCTGTGTAAAAGAGAGGCTTCCAGTCCACGGAGTGTGACCCAGTTGTCTGTAGAGCAAAGGGACAGGAGTTCAGGGGAGTTCCATATCAGCACACCCTCAGCCTTCAGCAAGTTAAACCTACACATGAGCTTCAGTCCACTTGTCACGTCTCAGAGGACTTGGTCTTCCAGGTGTTGTCCTTCATCTTGTTTTAATAATTGTAACTGCAAGCAATGTTAGCTGTTCGTTTAATCTTTCCTCCAACTGATAGGAGTGGATCCCCCTGTGTGTCCAGCCGTTCCTCACCTCTGCTCATCACCCCTCGTGGCTCTTGCCCTGAAGGTGCTTCTGAGCCCTTCACAGATGGGGCAGAGGTCCAGGTCGCGAACCTCGACTACAGAATGTCTCGCAAAGAACTGCAGCAGACGCTGCATGACACTTTCTCTCGATATGGGCAGGTAAAGCTGACTCTGGGAATTCATTATACCGATTAATTTCATTCATTCATTCGTTTATTTCTATAGCGCTTTACACGACCACGGTGATGGTGACCAAAGTGCTTAACAAAAACCGTAATTAACATCACAACAAATTAAAAGCAAGAAAAACACAACAACAAAAGGAAAACCAGAAATGTCATCATATTTAAATACTAAAAGTCTGTTGGAATAATAAAAAAAAAAAGTCTTAAGCTTCAATTTTAAAAGGACCGAGTTCAGTAATCTGACGTGACCGATGCACAGATGACTCCAAATTCATTCATTCATTCATTCTTTATCTAGACAGGTTAGTCCCATTGAATCTCGAGGACTCATTTACAAGAGACCTGAAATGAAGTGCCAGTGGTTGCTTGAAATGACCTCGACAGAATAATCTCTTTCAACCGTGGTTTTATTTATTTAAAAAGTGTTGTTGTATAAACTGTTTTGTCTAGGTTAAAGCTGTTGAGCTGAGCCCCCACACTGATTATCAGCTGAAGGCCACAGTTCAGATGTTGTTCCTGCAGCAGGCCATTAGCGCCGTCAGTGGTTTACACCGTTACAAGATCGGAGGCAAACGCATTCAGGTGTCTCTGATCACTGGTGGAAACAGCAAAACTCTTTCCATGCTCAGGTGGAGAGACAACTTTAAACACATCTTTAAACATATCAAAGTACATGGATGCTTACTTTAGCATTAGTGATTTTAAATTTCACTTTGATCTTTTACAGCGCAGAGATCATCTGTATTCTTCAGGATGCACCTGCCAACTGCCTCCCTCTGTTTAAGCTCACTGAGATCTATGAGAAAAAGTCAGTGCTCGTCTCATTTCCTGCTTTTTCTACGTGGTAGCTTTTACAAAAACAACTTACCGGCGCTTGTGTTCTTCCCTTCGTTTAGGTACTCCCGTAAACTCGCACTCAGCGATTTGTACAGGCTACCAGATGTGCTTTCAGTGAGGGAACAGGGGGGCTCGAGGCTTGCGTGCCTTTTGTCCAACAGCCAAATTCGCCAGAGTCCCCTCGGGTCTTCTCAGTCTCAAGAAAGCTCCTCGGCCAGCGGGAGTCCTGTTGTGTTTGAAGAACTCGAGTACCACGAGCCTGTTTGCAGACATCATCACGCACAGCAAGACTTCAGGTATAGAAACTTGTAAGAAACGATCATGGATGAAGTTACACAAATTGTCTTCTGTCTGTCACTGACTGAGAGATTTTTCTTCTTGTAGTGAAGCTGACTTTGACCCCGACTCTTATAAAATCCCATTTGTTGTGATGTCGCTGAGCAGTTTGACCTCTGAGGTCCACGGTCTGTTGGAGTCACACGATGGCACTCTTCCACTTCTCAGGTAACAACCACCTCTTTAATAAAAACATTTTGTTACAAACTTTGTTTCTGCACTCATAAAACTGTTGTAAAGAAAATCTATATATATATATGTTTTTTTTATTTTCATTCTAGCTTTCCAGATTGCTATGCTGCAAAATTTAGCCCTTTGCAGGTCGGCAGTGAGACACTGGAGGGTGCCGTTTCTCTGGAGCATCTGATCACCTGCGTTCCCAGTATTTCCATTGTCACAGCTCAGAATGGTTTCAAAGTCGTCAAGTGGATCCACAACAAACCGCCTGCGCAGAACTCTGGTATGAATGCTCATCAGTTTCATAATTTTTTGAGTTCGTTAAGGGTGAAACTCTTTTTCACCAGTGTTCTCACTTTAGGCTTTTCAGAAATGTGTTGTTTGTTTGTTGTTTGCAGAGACATGGATTCAACGCTGCAAGAGTCCAGTTGGAAATCCACAACTTATCCAGTTTAGCCGGGAAGTGATCGACCTGTTGAAGAGCCAGCCGACCTGCATCATGCCGGTCAGCAAGTTCATACCTTCGTATCACCATCACTTCGCCAAGCAGTGCCGTGTCTCCGACTACGGCTTCTCCAAGCTGCTGGAGCTTCTGGAGGCCGTCCCACATGTCCTACAGGTTCCCATTAAAGCCTCACTTGCAATCCCCATGTCAAATTCAACATGTGCGTTTCTTTATACTGTTCTTTAATTTTATGTCCCAACAGATATTGGGTATGGGCACCAAGCGCTTGCTGACCCTTACTCACAGAGCACAAGTGAAACGCTTCACCCAGGACCTCCTTAAGTTGCTTAAGTTTCAAGCCAGCAAGCAAGTAGCCATTAAAGACTTCATGCAGGCGTATCACTGGTCAGTCTTTGAGGTGTAGATGATGGCTTATTTATGTGAAGGCTCATCATAAATAGTAAACTGTCCATAAAGAGGCTGAATGTTTGTTCTTGAACCTTTTGTACCAGGTGCTTCTCCAGAGATTGGAGCGTCACTGATTATGGCGTCTGTGACTTGATGGACCTGCTGTCGGAGATCCCGGACACCACCATCGCCATCACACACCAGGCCACCGACACGATCATCTCCGTTCCTAAAAGAGGTCCGTTTTAAAACGGTTTTGTTCAGGAAGATGGAAAAGTAACAGCAAATTGTCAAAACGATTTATTTAAACCCCTGACATGTGCAAATCTTTTGCTGAATGTTAGAAAATATAAATGCATTATTTGTCAGAGCGTACGGTGGAGGAAGTTGAGCGAACCAAGCAGTTTGGGAAAGAGGTGGTGGACCTCCTCCGCCATCAGCCTCACTGTCGGATGCCCTTCAGTAAGTTCATACCCTCCTACCATCACCACTTTGGTCGTCAGTGCAAACTCAGCTACTACGGATTCACCAAACTCATGGAGCTCTTCGAGGCAATCCCTGACATTCTGACAGTAAGTTGCAAACAGTCCCTGGTTTTAATTTATACTTGCTGTGTTTAATGACCTACCAAATAATATTTTTAGGTTCTAATCATAGCCTTGATACACACACTCATAAATGTGTTGCATTGTGGATCGTGTTGGTGTGTTTTAACCTTGAGATTTACTTTAAAAAACTTGGAAAAACTTTCTCAAATTAGTTTTAGTACATTTTCCATGGGTGTCCTCGTCCTTAATCAGGTGCTGGAATGTGGTGAGGAGAAAGTGCTGACTTTGACAGAGGTCGAGCGCATCAAGGCTCTGGCAGCCCAGCTAGTCAAGCTGCTGCGTTCCCAGAACAACTTCAGTCTTCCCATCAGCCAGCTGCTCATGGAGTACAGCAAGACCTTTGGTTACGGTTTACGCCTGCAGGACTTCGACGCCTCCTCCCTGCCTGCTCTTCTGGCCAAACTCTGCCACGTTGTCAAGGTGAAGGGGATTAAAAAAATCAATTTGGCAAACGAATTCTAAAATGATAATGTTGATGCTTGTGAAGATCTAAACAAATTATTTTATAACCCCTCTATATACCTTTTTTATTAATTAACCTTGCAATGGGCTGCTATGACCATGAATAGTTTGTCTGTTAGAAAACATTGTTCTCAGATTTTTAAAGTTAGAACAAGAGCCAAAAAATGTTACCAGTCAGACGGATGAGCAAAGCTTGAAGCTTCCTGTTGCAAAGATCAGCACCCAGTCTGCTGCTCCAACTGAAACTCTCACTAAGATGAAGCTGGGCCTCTTGTGTTTTAATCTCCTGCCTTTCTCCCCGACGTTGCTGCTCAGTGGGGTCGGATGTTTGCACTTCCTCCCACCTTGAATGTAAATAACTGAGTTTTGCATCTTTGCAGAGATCAGATTTGGAGGAAATAACCTGCCTCCAGAGAATTATTGACCTTTAAGCTTTAGGTGTAAATTGTTTGTACCGTAATTTCCGGACTACTGAGCGCACCCGAATATAAGCCACGCCCACTAAATTTTACAAAAATTATTATTTTTAAAAACATTGTATGCTGGTCTCCACATTGTAACGTGAGACACACAAAGGTTTTTTTTTTTTTTTTTTTTAAATTATATATATATACCGGTAACATACACAGATGCGTACAGTAAACTTTTTTTTTTTCTGACCAGTGCCTATAACACGACTGGTTAAAAAATGAATACAGTAGCCTACCAGGAAGTCACTGATTGCTATCTTTATATTCCTCCTGCTCCGCTGTCGCTGTCAGGATCCACTGGGAGCGAAGCAAAAGTTGCTCTGCGCATGCAAATCCCCCGCTCCTGAAAGGTGTGGGGGAGGAATCCTCCCCATTCTCCCCTCCCCGTTTCATTGGTCCACTGTGACCTGTTCAGTAATTTCATTGGTCAGATTAAAAATAAATAAATAAAAATAACCTTTATTTATATAGAGAGTCTCAGTGAGTCAAGAGGACCCACCCTCCAAGAAAGACATTTATTGAGCAGCCATGTGAGCACCCAGATGCGGCGAGGCTAAATGTTTTGGCAGCATGATGCTCGTTAGCCCGTTTAAAAAAAAAATCAAATCAAATCCATAAGTTAGCCACATCATTGTATAAGCTGTGTTGTTCAAAGCGTGTGAAAAAAGTAGTGGCTTATAGTCCAGAAATTATGGTAATTTGAACAATCTTTATTCCTGCGGAGTGTTGATGTCCAGTGTGCAGAGGCGTCAGAAATCTAACTATTTTCTACTTACAATACAGGTGTTAATAAAAAGCTGCCTTTCCTTTGGTTTTATTAAGGTGGTCGATGGCTCGGAGGGTCGAGAAGTGCAGTTGATCAACAGGAAGTCTCTGCGGCTGCTGACCTCCCAGCTTCTGGCTCTGCTCATGTCCCAAGATAACGAGCAGGTCGCCGAGGGCATGAAGGTGGAGGAGCTGAGTCAACTTTACCAGAGTGTTCATGGTACCCAGTTAAATCCATGTGAATATGGGTTCCTCTCACTGAGCGAGTTGCTCAAGAGCCTTCCTTATCTTGTTGAGGTTAGAAATGGATTTCTTAAAAAAAAAAACTTGAGGTTGTTTTGTTTGTTTGTTTGTTTGTTTAGTTTTTTTTTTCAATGTTTCATACTTTTTTGCTTTTTCACAGCTGTACCATGAAGAAAGTGATCATATTGGCAGTGCTGCCAGTGGTCATGGATACGAATGGGTGAGGCTAACTCGGCTTTACCAGTTTGCACGTAACGTCCGTGCACTGCTGCACACCTACCATTACAACCAGATCTTCCTGACGGAGTTCCTGGGGGCTTATAATAAATTTGTTGGCTGCAACCTTGAACCACGCTCCTATGGATACATCTGCACTGATGAGCTGCTCGGTGCTATTCCACAGGTGGGAATGTGGACATTAATTACATTTGGCAAACTTTATTTCCAAAGAAAAACAAAATTTGGCTTGCCGGTCAGGCTGTTGTTTTATGTTTCCGTATGATAGAAATTAATTTATCTAACGTTCCTTTATTTTTTTTCATTGATTTTGGTTATTTTTTATTCAGGTGATTTGGATCAAGGGACACGGTCATAAAAGGATTATTGTTTTGAAGAATGATATGAAAGGTAAGCACATGGTTTTATTGCATCTTTAATAGGTCCAGACGATCAGTTCAAATCAATGACTATGCTCAGACAGTTCCTTTTTGGAAAGTTATAATGGAAGTAATTGTGTCCTAAAAATTGCAATGGGGCTTACCATACTTTCCGCTGTTCATGTCACACCGTCGTATAAGTCACATCAGTCCAAAAATGTGCAATAAAGTGGGGAAAAAACACAAATGAGTCGCTTCGCTGCATAAATCGTGTCTATTATGCGTCACCGCTGACCACCCGGAAATGTGGGCCGGTGTTGTGCCAAAAATCGATTGGCAGCCAAATGGCGGCCACAGAAGCATGCACTGGAGGACTTTAACAAGAATTTAACAAGATTAACACTTAAAAACAATTATTTGTTTGCTCGACATTATAGTAAAGGTGTGTTTCAGTTGAATTTTCCTTAATAAATGCACTTTAATGGTCAAATCAGCTGCATTTGTCCTGGGCGGTGCAGCGAAATGCAGATGATTTGACGTTTACTCCAGGAGTTCTGGAGCGAGACCAAAGTGGCTTGGTATGGCAAGCCAAGTGTCTCATTAATAGCCACTTTCACCTATTCATGAAACACTTGGCTTGCAGTATTAGTCGAGTGTCCTCTAGCGGTTGAAAATGGCGGTGTTTGATATTTTTCATGTCGTAATGAATTAAATTGTCAGATCTCAGCCAAAAATTGGATTATAAATATGGGGGGAAAACGTCACTTTGGTGTACAAGTTGCAGGACTTTCAAATTTTATGCAAAAAGGTGCAACTTATACAGCAAAAAATACAGAAAATATTTTGGCGTTTCTGTGTGTGTTAGCAAAGTCAAGCTCTTCAGTCCCCAACAGCCCCCAACCAGGAGAGAATGCTGAGAGTCCGAGAGACAGTCCCATTAGCACCACAACATCTGGAACCCAAAGTCCAGGTAATCCCAAGTCACACAAATATTTATGTAGACAAACTTACTGTTGACCTCGACTTCCCAAAACAGTCAGTGCATTGACACAATTACATTTCAATGTGTTGCAACAAGTCGGCACAGATTTAGAGCTGTAAAAATAAATTATTTAAACATGTACAGCTACAACATATCTAGGCTTGAACTCCTAAAACATGCATTTAAAATCAGCAAACACTTTATTTTATTTCTTAAAGGGATCTCCAACTCCTTACATGTGTAGGCCTTAATATGTTGCAAACTTTTGACCTTTGTTAATTTTATGTATTTATTTTTTATTACCTTCTAGGTGGTGATCCAGTGGCAGAATCAGAGCTGCTGTTTTTACCGTCTCCTCTGGACCTGTTATGTGGGCCAGTACCATCCTGCCTCCCATCACCTCAGCTCTATCCTGACCCTGTTGTCCTTCAGCAAATGGACCTGATTAACTTTGAGAGAACGCCACCCCCACATCTACCAACAGGTCAGTTTTAATGTAGATTTTTTTTTTTTAATAATTTAGATCTGTAATTTAAAAAAGCATATCGAATATACCTTGTTTGCACTTTTTGTTTTGAGCTCATCTCTGCTTCTGTGTGTGCGTTTGTGGTATTAGAGAGTGAATCTGAAGAGGCAGACAGCACCTCTGATCCACCTGAGCACCTCTGCAGCACAGACGAGACTGCGGTCTCCAGAACTCCTCCACCCTCCGACACAAAGAACTTTTTGTCCACGAACAGTCCCGGCAGGAGAGCCAGTCGCAGCAAAATCAAACTAGCTGCTAACTTCTCCTTCACAGCAGGTCTCTGACCTTCTAACACGGAAATACAGTTAGGCTCATACTGTAACTCTAAAAAGGAGAGTTAAACAGCCACACCACATAAAAATAACCCCTCAGGAGGCGTTTGTGTTGTCTTTATGACATCTGTTTCTCAACAGCTGTATTTTCTTAGTTCAATATACTCCTCAACAAGGAGGAGTATATATATATATATATATATTATGCTCAACAAGCTGTGATCTACTTGTGGATTTTCTGTAGTGTTTAACAATTTTTTTCCTCCGTCATCTTTTCTCCAATACCAATAGCAGGTGATTTATAAGAATATACATCCTCCGTTTAGAGCCGTCGTCGTTTCAAAGAACTAAATAATGAGACCGAGTTAGTTGTCACTGTACAGAGAAGTTTCAGTTTGTAAAACTGACATAAAATAACACTCTTTGGTGAGATTTGTCAGTGAACCATGAAACGAAACCTTCTCCCCAAAGACAGAAGCTTTCATTTAAAGCACAATTAAACGTTTAAGAGCTTTATCTTGGTAATTAATTACAAATGCGATGAGCAATCCGGCTGATAATCTGCTGCCTGTTTAATTTTGTCAGATTTTTAAAGTAGCAGGAGGTCTGTGTCGTCTCTGATGTAAAAAAAAAAGAATGTTTTTAGTTCTTTCTGTATCATACAGAGGATTCAGGGAGAGTTTGGCCTAAATTTGTTGCTATACGAGTAGAAACCATTAACTGTTCGTTGTTGTCTTTAGTAAACCGTGGTTATCAACCTGAACAGTGTTTAGATCTAAAGGTTTTCCTGCATCAATGACCGCTCCTTTTTTTAAATTCTCATATGAACTTAATAGCAAAGACTTGGACTTGGTTTCTTCTAATGAAGGCATGAAAGGAAAAATAAGGTAGCACTCAACACTCCTGCCAAGTGTCCTTAAGCAGCAGAAACTGACATTCTTATATCGTTTGTCTTTAATCAGCAGCCCGTGCGTGTGTGTTTTAGCTGTATTTTGTGTGTGGTTTACACTGAAGTAGGTGGTGTGAAATGGGCAAGGTGTGCATAACGGAGTTTATGCAAGGTGTATTCCTGGGAGGAGCAGACAGGAACAGATGATAGGAAGTTTAAGATCAGTCTATATTTCTGCCACGATGCATGAATCTGAGCTGGCGTCATTCTTGCAGCTGCCGTATAAGAGCTCAAGGTTTGAGTTAACCTTTTGCTGCTGGTTGGCGCTGGTATTGGTGGCTTTGACATTGAAGGGTTTGTGGAGGGCAGCATGCACTCCTGAGTTTTTTGGTTTTTAATGGCTGTGAGTTGTAGAAGAGAGGTGGGACAAGAGGTGACGGATTTGAGGACCAGCCAGGAGGCTCTGGGAAACCTCTTGAATGGACTGATGTACACACAGGGTGCCCTCTACGGGTCTCTGGAACCTGCCGGGCTTTTACAATGGCTTGTATTTGCCACGGTGCTGAAACAAAGGACCATCTTCCCTCCGTACCCTCTCACATGGTGTAGTGTTATTTGTTTAACTTACAGATGTGTGTTTAGTTTTGAAGTTTTGTGTAAACGCCACCAAATATCTGCTGCTTGTAACAATGGGCACAACCCTGGTGTTGCTGAAGTCGAAGGTTGATGTTTGTTTAGAAAAAGCATTTAGAGAATGGGTAACAGCCCATTTAATTGGTTCAGTTGCATTTTCTTGAAGATGTGGTCTGTTTTGAAGTGTGCCAACAAAAGTTAGTCAGACTGGATTTGGTGTGAAAAGGTTCCACCTGCCATCCCACCCAAATGCAAATCAGGTTTCTAAAATTGGAGTCATTTCTCTTAACTATGTTTACATTTGGATAACAAGAAATTACACATTTCTACCATTAAGTGCCTTTATTTAAATTTGGCCAGATGAAGACTTTTTTTTTTTTTCAACTCAACTTTGGTTCTCAGAGCTACATTGACAACTAACTCTGTTTTCTGGGTTCTCATGTTGGTTAGATCAGTGAGAAGCTTCTGTATCTGTTGCAATATGCACTTCTGCATAGTTTTTTAGTTCATGGAATGTAACAAAGAATTTGTCTGTCTTTCAGTTTTTAAGGAACTTGGTTTAGACAATGTTTCCTTTTAAAGTCGTGAATTTTTGTTTACCTGCTCAACAACTTGTCTTCACACTCACCTGTTCCCTCAGTTGCAGTTTTACTGCCTTCCTGCACCAGAAGTGGTTGTAAGAATCATTGAAGCCAATAATAAATTTCAAAGCATCTTTTTTTGTATGTGTGAATATTTACATGAGGAGGGGGGAAAAAAGGAAAAACTGTTCTTGAAAGATGTGCTTTATTTAAACATGTATGTACAAGTAGTTTTCACTTTTTTCTGCATACTTAAATCTTCATCAGTGGGACCTTCATCGATTCACTATAACTACAGAACGTCAAGTTTTCAGAAGTGACAAAGAACAACACTGTGCTTGATGCAAGTCACTAAATGTCCTAAATACTCAAGCATACACCATCAATTGGAGGCCTGTACAAAAGTTGTATTGTTGTCCTTGTGTTTGGCATAAAAACTCTTAAAATCAGAGGATGCAAGTTGTTTACCATATTAATACCCACTAAAACAATGATGTCGTATGGTCCGTTTATTATCGCTGGCCCCGCGTTGGGCGCCAAACATTGTAGCCAAAACAACATGCAGTCGTGAGCTTCTATTAAAACTCAGATGACACTGAATCTCTTAATGACAGAAAAAATCAAAGAGTTTATTGAAGAGGTGCAGAAAATGTAAATGGCCAAAAAGCATCAGATTCCAAAAAAAAAGCATCCCTGCCCCCCCCCCCCCCCCCCCATACATGCACACACGCACAGATTTCCACAAAGCTTTTACACTGTTTATCCCTTGTGTCATGATAGCATTTACTTGTCACTCATACACTCAATCAGAGAGGATGTACTGGGTCAAGGCCTCAACCCAGTTTCCATGGCATCTTTGTTTCTATGTATGTAGTTCACCGATAACCTGTCATGTCTTGTTACACTGCCTGATAAACAAAAATTTACTTCAATGTCTCCTGGTAGTTTATTCTTTCAGAGGATGTTTCATAATGATGAAGTATGATGACAAATGATTTCTTAAACTGATACAAGTTACTTAAAGCATTATACCTTTAAAAGTATCTCATGACACTGTATGTGGGTGTTATCTGAAAACTTTAGGTCACATTTTACTGCTGCACAGATTATTATTATTATTATCATTATTATTGTTATTATTATTATTATTTCTAAATGTAGGAAGAGTCAAATCTCCAGTTTGGACTTCTGGATTTAGCTGATCTGACTAAAAACATACACATCAATATTAAGCCGTTTTTACTAAAAAGTTAAAGCTGAACTTTTCTAGAGATTAGTTTCTCCAACTAGGGGGAAAATAATTTAATTTAAAATAGTTTGCAAGCTCCACAAAGTCACAGTTTTGCGTTAGAACACTTTTAAAGAAAAAATAATGCCTTTCATCAAACCTGACAAATTTTCTTTCCAACTTTACTCCGATTCACTTTATGGACTGTGTGCTTTTAAGCCTGTTTTGTATAATCAGATGCATCATCTTAAAATAGTTGTTTATTACTGGGATTGTGTTGAGTACTTGTAGTCAGTGTCATACCTGCAGCAGATGGGGAACAGATTTCCATTTAGCGAAAGTGGGACATATTTTCAGGAATAAATCTGAGCAGAGATTTTAAGAGAAAATTTTTCACAATTTAAAAAAAACAAAATCAAACTTTTTTGTTTGTTTGTTTCAAGGAAGAAGGATTTTTAGATGTCACTTTTGCACTAAATAGCTGTTTGTTAATTTTGGTTAAGCCATGACGCATATTTTAGATATTTGTTTTGAGGTTTTATTTTTTTTATTTCTTGATCTTCCTATTCCAACAAAATTTAAAAGCTCACCATGAGTGCCACCAGGTGGTGAGAACATCCACATAAACAATGAAAACCTTAAGAACTTTCTCAACTTTGCTAAAGATCCTCCCAAAACTCATCAGTTTTCAAACCACAACGCCCATTTTTGAAATGGGTGTTTTGCTGTCAAAAATATATATATTTTTTATTGCAATTGCTGTTTGTCAACTAGTTTTTGCATACTTCATTTAAACATATATTTTATGCTAAATATAAGGTGAACTAGTTTGCTTTTGTTACGCCACAATTTCTCCCTATTTTTCAAACTATTTTTCTTCTGAGTGCTGTCTTCTGCAGGTAAGATACTGACTACACTTATGAGCTTTATTGCCACCAAAGGGGTGGTTTAAAAAAATAAACCTAAACTATCTCTTTAAATGAATGCAGTTTTATGGAATAAGTAAATCAACATCTAGTTATCAGATTTTATTTACACTTCTGTTCGAGGTCTTTGTTCTGTTTGATCCGTGTCCAGTCCTGGTAAATATGCTCCTCACTGTAACACTCCCCTCAAATACTGATTAGGGATCAGCTCCCAGAACGCCTGCAGGTGAAGAATAAATCTGATTTCTGAACAGGTTCAAGGGCAAACACAGATATCTGTGGTTCTCTGAGTAACAGGAAGTGGTTGTGACGTGAGCGTTGTGACACGGGAAGGGTCAGTTTCGGTTACATTACAGCACACTGGGTGGCTCCGCAGCAGTCTTTAATGATGGCCGCTCCTGACTTGGCGATGGAGGGTTTGTTCGGAGGCGGCTCCTGGATCTGTCTCTTGGGCTTTGGAGGATCTGTTTTATTTTTTTTTAAGAGGAAAAAATAGACAGGAAGTGATGAAAGGGGGTAATTTTTATTATTTTTAATGAGCATTTCAGTAAATCTTATCCTCCCACTCACGATGTGGCGCTTTAAGCTTCTGTTCCAGAGGCTTCAGCTTCAGCCTGAGGAACTCTGCCATCTCCTTGTCCTCCTCTTGTTCCCTGAGGTGCAACACAAACCCATTTTAGTTGAATGGCAACTCAATAAATGTCTGTTCTTGTGTGAACAGACCACTATCTGTGATCCACAACAGCACAGTCCAGTCCCAGTTTGTACGCTGCGTATTTTATCAAAGCTTTCCACTCACATTTCTCACAGATAAACCAGTCATTTAGTCAGCAGAAGCATTTTAAGATGTTGCATCTTGAATAGGGTTGAATACAAATATTAAAACATACAGGCAGAACAATCAGTCCAGTGGTTCGAGATATTTTGCTAACAGACAGGATTACATTTAAGTGTAAAGTGCTTAGAGTATGTAATGGGCATGACTCACAGCTACCACCATGACAAATTTTAGCTCAAAAGCTCTAAAGCTGGCTGTCAAGGCCTTTTTGTGTTTGCATATGCTGCTTTTTGTTACTTTTTATCTGCAGATATTGTCTATAAATGTATATAGATTTGTTTATGCTACATCAATCTTTTCCCAATTTTATCCAGTGTTTATTAAAAAGAATAAATTCAGCTGGTCCCTGCAGACAGCCGTCTGTGGGACACAAAAGTCCCGGATATTAACTGCAGTCGATGCGAAGGCTGCACCTTAATCTCTCCACCTCGGCGTCGTCGACCAGGAAGTCCCTTTTCTGCACCAGTTTATGGATCTTCAGGATCAGCTCCTCCTCTTGCTGCTTGTCCTTCTTGGTTTTCTCTTTCTCTGTTGGAGACACACACATGCAAAAGATAAAATGGGAGCAGCGCAGCCATATATTAATCCAACACATACTGGACTTGTTCTGGCAGAATGAGCAAGAGTCCAACTAGTAATCACAATAACGAAAATCTTGCATAATCTTCTAAATCTACCTTTTAATGGAAGTTTTCTAACTGTTTGTCTTCAGACATAATCCTTTGTCTTACAATTTCCTTTAAAACTGGCCATTTGTCTCTGCTGCTCACCAGGAGATCCCTTCGTATAATCTGTGGCATCGTTTGGAAGTTTTTTCGTTTCTTCTTTTTAAGTGCACGGCTGCAATTCCTGACATTGCTCCAGACCAATAAAATTTGAGTTTTCAAATCGGCACACTAAACAAAACAAACTTGTTCCCAGCTGGTTTTGCCAAATTTGAACAAACCATTTTGAAGCGTTTTAGATGAAGAATTTAAAAAATAAAGTGACGCCAAATAAACAGTTATAGCTAGGGCTATCCTAACATTTTATTCTTTACTGTAAGCTTAAATACATTTTACTCCCAAGATAATTTTTTTTTTTAACACAGTTGGGTGGCTGTGGCTGAGTGGTTAGAGCAGTCGTCCTCCAATGGAAGAGTTGGGGGTTCGATTCCACCAGCAGTCACAAGCTGAAGTGTCCCTGGGCAAGACGCTGAACTCCTCATTGCCTCCGGTGTGCGTCCCATCGGTGTATGGATGTGATAAAGCTCTGGTTATTCTTTGTATATTAATAATAAGGTGCTGTATGAATGGGTAAATGAGGGCACAGATCGTGATGTAAAGAGCTTTGAGTATCTTGATAAGATAAGGTGCTATAGAAGTACAGTCCATTTACCAATATGCACAAATATGATTCAATTTAAAAAATATAATTATTTTGGCTGCTCCCTTCTTCAGCAAGCTAACTCACACAAAGATTTGACAATTGATTTTACACTGGATGCCTTTCCTGACCAGTGAGCTACCAGTGTGGAGCAGAGAGCTGCCATCTAGGGGTGCCCAGGGGAGCAGATGTTGGGGGTTAAGGGCCTTGCTCAAGGGCCCAGAGTGGAGCAAACGAGGGTGGAGGCAGGTGTGGGTGTTTCGCCTTTCCCACCCTCATTTTGATGTTTTCGGTCCGTGGAGTTGAACCGGCGATCTTTCGATCACAGGCCCACCTTCTGTAACCTCTACACCACCACTCCCGCCTTATCCAACATTTTATAATAAGCAATTAATTAACATTTATTTTCACGTTGAGAAGCATTTCGGGAAATGTTTGAAAGTTATAAAAAAAAAGTCAAATATTTATTAAACTAATAAAAATACAGGCATTATACATAATGCTCAGCACTACTTGGGTGGAAAATGTCTTTAAATAAATTTAAATACTGGTATTTAGCAAAGTGCAAAACTTATTAAACCCCAACGTCAACACCCCTGCCTCCTGCATGAGCTGGATATGTGAATAATTAAAACGGCACAACGTATTAAGTTAAACTTGGGGGAAAAAAGGCTAACGACTCCACTCAGTTCAGTCCAGTTACTATAAATACAGTCCCATTCAGTGCATCATGAATGCCCGTTAGAAAAAATAATGTTTATTTCATTTTGCCAGCAGGTTGCACCTTTCACATCCTGCCAACATCTAAAAAGACTCAAGACCAAAAAAGGGATGCATGAGTCTGATCTCTATACTTAAAAGAAAAATAAAGTAATAATTATAATCCATAATGTGACTTGATCAAACTGCAGCATATTTGTACTTTTAAAATCCTTGCTGCCTAAAAATACAACACAAATCATTATATACAATATACAAATCATATATCTTCAGCCTGACAACCATAGATGTCTGTTAAAAACATCTTTTCAGGAGGAGAGTGTCATGGCAACCATGTGGATGTAAATCTGTTGTTGCGCCGCAGCCCGAAGGTTGTCGGCAGTAACTGATCGAGTGGAGACTCCTACGTCAGAGAGCGATGGGTTACATGAGGCCTTCTGACCTGATGATAATCCTCACAATACGAGCAAATCCACTGGATTAATTAGAAAAGAAGGGATGGATTCAAATGGAGCACCTTGAAAGAAGCTGTAATTGCAGATTTGTCGATATTAGCTGATCATAATCATCGTCATGCTGCGTCTGGAGGAAACATTAGCTTATGAGGTCAAGAATAATCTCAGTAATGACATTTGATGACTAAATGTGGCACTGACCATTTCTTTATGTCTGTGCACGTGTTTTCTTTCCGAAGTAAGACAAAAACTTTAGCTTGTGTCATTCTGAAACTGCATTTTTACCTCGAGGAATTTTCTTACACAACTGATTTAAAGCAAAAACTAATTTTATTCCCTGCTGGACACTCAGATGGTTAACTAAAACACAGAAACCTTCATGTTGAAGACGTTACAATAAAAGTGATGTATTTTTGGACAAAACTTGCTGCAATACAAAGATGCTTGCGTGCCTCCACCCTGGATTAGAAATGTATCTTTCCTGCAGGGTGTCAAGCAACAAGACCACCATAAACACAGTGATGTACGTAAAGTCAGGAAAGGCTCTAATTCTGAGCTTCTAAATGTTGTGTTGATTGTTCTGAGTACAGTTTGTGGGTAAATGTGAATTTCACCTGGCACTGCCACAATTTGTCTCAGCTCCTGCTTTAAGCTCACGATGTCCTTGCAGAGCTGAATGTCGTCCATCCTGGAAAAGAAAAAAGAAATGGAGCTTTAAATCTGAATTAATGGTGGCAGATGCTTTCAGCTGCTTCTCCTTCAGGAATCTGACATCAGACTTGTTCTGCACTAAATAAAAGGTGGCGCCTTTTTGGTGTTTTAATGTAAAAATGTGGTTTTCAGAGATCATTTTCCTTCTCTCTGAAGTTTTAGAACAGAAGTCTTAGTTTTCACAGAACGGACTGAGCTAAAAACATGAACAAAAAAAAAAAAACATTTTCTGTTAAAATGTATTGTGAACACTGCTGAAATTTACTGAACAATCTGAGACCTGGTAAAGGTTAAAGAAGCAAAAAAACTGCTAAACATATTGAAAAGCCAATCAGAAGATGAAAAACAAAAGGCTAAATGTAAATTATCAAAAGTTAGATAGCAAGAAAAGACTGTCTAAAATCTAAAAAAAAAAAAAAAGCTAATCTTTTTTTTTTTTTTTTTGCTAAAAGTTGCCTATAGTTCAAAATCGCAAAAAGCTACCCGAAAGGTAAAAGTAGAAAATGACTTGGAGCTAAAAAGGTGGGAAAAAAAACTAGCTTTAAAAATTTAAGGCTAGCTAGATGCTAAAGCTAGCTAAAGGCTGGCTAAAATCCAAACGTAGCTATTTTAGCTAAAAGACAAAAGTAGCAAAAGACTAGTTTGAAATTGCAAAAAGATATCAGGAGAAAAGAGCCAAAAGTAACAAAAGGCTAGCTAAAAGGCAAAAGTAACAAAAAATTGCTAAAAGCTATAAACTGCAAAAACTTAGCTAAAAACCATCAGAAAGGTGGCTAAAAGCTAAACTCCACAAAAGGCTAGCCAATTGGTTAAAACAGCAAACCTAAAAAAAGCATTAGCTAAAAGCATCATAAGACAAAAAGTCAGTCTGCTGAAACTGATTTAATAGAAAATCTGTTTCGTAAAATGTTTGTAAATTAAGCTGAGAAGTCTGTATGTTGTGAAAATCAAACGTCACAGCACCCGTCTCCTGAATGAGCCGAATGTTATGATTTATGAACGACTAAAATAGCACAAGGTATGCAGACGTAGTGGGAGTGCAAAGCACGCATGCGAAAAATCAAAAACAAGAAAACGGTTTGAAAGCTGAGTGAGCGTTCACACACACACACACACACACACACATACACACGTATAAAAAAAACATCATAGGCCTAAATGTTGGTTCTTATTCAGGATAAATGACTCAATATTTATCAGAACAGTTAGTTTATTTCAGTTTGTTTTATTTGACAGTGAATGAATAATCTGAGTGACAGACACTAATTAACAGATAATTTCTAAAAAGTCAACAGCCTGAGGCGCCTGTCACACATCATCATCATCATCCTCATCAGAAGCAGCAGAGTACGACACAAAGATGCAACAAAAATGATCTGTTCTGAGTCGTCTCTGCACCTCCTGCAGCTCTGACGTCTCTCCTCCTCCCTGAATCCCTCCTTTTCTCTCAGCCAAGCAGCAACCACAGGCCTCTGACTCATCCTCAGCCTCCCTCCTCCTCCTCCCTCTTCATCTCACTGCCACTGCTCTGATAACACATCCCTCCCCTCGTCCGCTGTTTTTCTCACCTTGCTGCCTTGTGTTTCACTCTCTCAGTGCTATCTCTGGATGCCTTCTGCACTCTGACGCTCGGTGTGTGTGTGTGTGTTTGGAGTTGAGCGCCTCCTGTCAGATGAGACGTAAGCAGGCCTAACGAAGAGCTGCAGGAGGGCGCCGTGTGAATATACATCAGCTGAGCTCTGGAAGTGTTTGAGCATCATCGAACACCTGAGCCCCGGCTGCACGTGTCAGGCGGAGCGATGACAAAGAAGAACTGTTCAAGTTACAGGAGGAAAACAATTATTTTATTCAAAGTGCCATTAACTCAGCATGTAGCGCGCAATGTTTAACAGCTAAATAATACTTATAAGATGAAACTTATTTAAAACATATTTCTGCATCAAGCTTTTTTTAAAAAGTCTGTTTAAAAATTGTAATACATTAGTAGCTCGTTCTGTTACATTCTAACTTATCAGTTTATTGACTTCTGTGAAAACGTTTTACCACAGTTTATTTGTGGCCTCCAAGGATCTGGATCTCGCTGGGATCTTCTAGAGCGGTTTTGATCAATGTTTCTTTAGGTTTTCTGCAAGTCTTTTAAATTTTCCTTTGGACTTTGCCTCCTTTCATTCACTCATTTTCAGTCCAGTGCGATGACTGCAGGACCAGAAGAGAAACCCAGACCTCGCTCTCTCCAACACTGGGAACCCAAGTTGCTCCGATGCCAGAGAATATGATCCTTCCAGAAAGATCTGAGAGTCTTCTTTCTGTGGGACAGGCCCAGAAAACCTCCAAAGGGATGTGTACAGGAGGCATCTTAATCAAATCTCCAAACCACCTCAACTGACTTCTTTGATGTGAAGGAGCAGCGACTCCGAGTGCCCCCCATATGGCGGGGCTCTACAGATATCTGCTATCTTGTTCTTTCAGTCATGATCCAAACCTCCTGACCACTGAAACAATAGATGGACCAGTAAACTGAGAGCTTTGCCTCTTGATTAAATTGTTTATTCACCGCGACCGACCAAAACAACACCCTTATTACTGACTACAAGGCCCTGATTTGTCGATCCATCTGCTGCTCCATCATCACTCCTGAACGAGAAACTCTTCCATCTGAAGATCTCCTGAAGTACTGTTTCATCTTAATCTAACTGTCCAATAATGGTCAGTCAGATCATCTGGACAGTTTCTTTTTTGTGGAAAGATGTTTCGCCCTCTATCCAGAGGGCTTCATCAGTCTGAGCAAACTGGTTGGTCCACTAAAGGAGGGTACCGCTTAGTGGGGAAAATGGTTTACTTGGGACTCCTCAGACTGATGAAGCCCTCTAGATAGAGGGCGAAACGTCTTTCCACGAAAAATAAACTGTCCAGATGACCTGACTGACCATTGTTGGATTTTGTACCTGGATGATTGCACATGAGTTTTGATTAATCTAACTATGTTTCATAAATTCAGCAAGAGAAATGGGAACAAATTGTGGTTTTCTGGCAAGGTGATATTAACAAAACCTCTAATGAAACCACATCAAATGTTTCCTTTGCTAAGTTGTTTACCGTATTTTCCGCGTACTCAAAATACTGTAATTTTCTCAAAAATTGACAGTGCGACTTATAATCCGGTGCGCCTTATGTATTAATTCTGGTTGTGCTTGCAGACCTCAAACCATGTGATTATTGTAAATGAACTGAATAAAGTTTGACTGTTTTGTTTCGCTTGCCTTATCATCCGATGCGCCTTGTGTATGAAAACAGACCCGTTCGTTGATATTGCGCCTTATAGTCCGAAAAACATGGTATATATCGGCACAATGTTGGTTCATCCTTTGAGTTTAGGAGGCGTTTTATGTCTTGATTCAGAGGTTAAGTGGCTAAAAAAAACAAAATTCCTGAAAGGAGGTCAAATGAGTGAAAAAGCGGCTAAAGATAAAAAAAAATAAAACTTGCGTGGACGCAACATTTTTAACGTGATAGACGGGAGGATTTGGTCTCTGAAGCTCTTGCTGATGAGTTTTGGGTCGGTTCATTGTGGTGACTCATTCTTCAACCAGCTGAATAATCAATGGACATGTTCAAACAGCCTCTGCGAGCTCGGCGCGAGCTGCACTTCAGAGCTTGAGCAGTGCAGAAGAGTGCCAAAACCTCTCACTGCGACAGCACGAAGCTCGTTAGCCACGCAGAGGACGGCTACAGGAATGGTTGTGATGGATTATTGATGAAGTGGTTTGACACTCCCAGCCTGTCGGTGTGACAGCAACAACCCTGAAGGGACTCACATGAAGCGCAGCTCCGACTCTCTGCGCACCAGGACCTCCCGCAGGCGCTGGATGCGAGCCATCTCCACCTCGATCTCCTCTGGAGACACGGTGCTCTCCGCCATGGACACGTCCGAGTGACCTGAAGGGCAGAGGGTGGAGGAGGAGGGGAGGGGGACGACAAAAGAGTGAATAAAGCAAGAAAATGAATTCAGTTCAATTCAAAAATACTTTATTAATCCCAAAGGGAAATAAATTCTTGTTGCAGCTCATCATCCTGGTTTCATTAGAGTTGTTCTAGATGCTGATAGCTGTGGGCAGGAAGGATCTCTTGTAGCAGTCCGCCCCACAGCGGATCCGAAGAAACTGGCTGCAGATGCCAATCCGTCCATCCAGACCCAGCAGACCTCTCTGTCCTCTTGGGCATCAGGACTGCCTGAATGCCGGGCAGAACTCCTCCCCGAGCGATGGCCATTTCTCCCAGCAGCCTGCTGAGCCCCTTGTCACTGCGGGCTTAACTGCAGGTGCCGAGGTTACGATCTCGGTTCTCCCGCTGTCACGAGCCGTGCTTCCCACTACCTCCAAAATCTCGAGCACCGCCTCCAGGAGGACGGGAATGCATCCACGTCACCTCCTTTTCAATTCATTTGGGATTTGGGGCTGTAGTTGAGGTATAATTTGAGCTTTTGAGACGTTAATCAGCTGCTCCTGGTTGTAGAAAACCACCTTGTTGTTATGGTTACGCATCATAACAAATGTCCAAAAGTAAAAAAGCTTTCAGTAAAAATCCTTCCAGCAGCACAGCATCTGATACCAGAGGAAGTAATTATCTGAAAAAAAGCCATTTACATGCAGAAAAAAAGAGTAATTAAAGTTTTCAAAAGCAAAATCTCAGAATGAAAGTAAGAGAGCTGCTCCATCATGCAGCCACCTTGAGCGGTGCAATTCTAGAAATCACAAAGGGAGTGGGAAATGTGGCAGAAAGAAGAGGAGTTCTGCCGACGATAATGTTTTTGCCTCTGCGTGTTCACTTGTGAGTCTGTTAGCAAAATATCTCATAAACCCCAGGACAGATTTTTATGAAACTCTCAGAAAGTCACAACTAGACGCACCTTTTAGAGTCAACTCAAATCAAGATGGCTACCACAGCTAATCAGCCTGGAAAAACAGAAAAATGGCTTTCTACCTCAGATTTGCAAACCCTGAGCTAAAGTGGTAGTAGCTGACAGTCAATGCCAACACAATCTGAGCTCTAACTGATTTAGCCCCTTCTGCTGCCCTTGGATCCATATGACCCACAAAGACTGAGGCCTTGTGGGTCATTTTGACCCAAGAGCAGTAGGAGGGTAATAATAGGCTTTTAATGAAACAGTCAGAATACAATACTTGGATAAACATTCACAGGTGATTTTTTTTTTTATAAAGAACTTCATTCAAGATGGTGGCCATGACTCATTACTAATAACCTACACAAAAAGTACTATAGTACTGTCAGTTTTACAGATATTGAGCTAAAATGTAAAATGGTAGTAGTTGGGTCATCCTCAACATATAACAAATTTTTTGGACTATAAGGCACACTTAAGTTAAAATCCTTTAATTTTTTCAAAAATCACCTTATAATCCAGTGCACTTTATGTATTAATTCTGGTTGTTCTTACTGGCCTCAAACCGATTTTATGTGGTACACGGCGCTTAAAAATCTGTCAAAACGTTTTTGTTTCGCTTAATGCGTCTTATAATCCGGTGTGCCTTATAGTCTGAAAAATATGGTACTCTGAGCGCTAACAGATGACACATAACTGTATATTCAAGATTTGACCATAGTGTCTCTCTTTCTGTAATTTCTTATCTTAAGATTATTTCAGTTTAAAACTGTAGCAGGTGATATGCGTCGCTTCAAAAAATGCTGGATCTTTGAGTTGGAAGCAGTGGTTGTGGCGCTTATATATGGGGTGCCGTTTGTAAAGTTACAGTGAAAAATTAACAGCAATAAAAAAAAATGCCTTTAATAAGAAAAAATTGCTTCTTTTTTTTTCAAAGTCATATTTTCACCATGTTATTCATACATTTATAAATATCATAGTTCCCAACTAAATGTTTAATTTACATGCTAAATGTTTAGTTTACCAACTAAATATTTAACTTGCAAGTTAAATACTGTAGTTAGTCAACTAAATATTTAGGTGTAAATTAAATATTTAATTTCCAAGCTAAATATTCATTTTCCAAACTAAACATTAAATTTCCAAACTAAACATTTATTGTGCAAGCTAAATATTTAATTTCCAAACTGAACATTTGATTTGCTAACTAAATGTTTAACTTGCAAGTTAAATATTTAGGTCCAAGCTCCGAAATACTTAACTTGCAAGTTAAATATTTAGATCAGAGTTAAATATTTAGTTAGCAAATTGACTATTTATTTTGGAAATTAAATGTTTAGTTTGGAACTAAATATTTAGCTTGGACAATAAATATTTAGTTTGGAAATTAAATGCTTAGTTTTGAAAATAAATATTTAGCTTGTTAATTAAATATTTAGTTGGGAACTATGACATTTATAAATGTATGAATAACATGGTGAAAATATGACTTTGAAAAAGAAACTATTTTTGTTCTTATGAAAGGTTAAATAAACTAAAATATTGCTGTTAATCTTTGACAGTGTAACTTTACAAATGGCACCCCATACTTACAGGGAGACTTTGTTCTTCTTCGACTACGTCTGATTTAAATCCTGGATCCGTCAATGTCTGACTCTCAGCTCTTTAAAACTTTAAACCAGCCTGTTGGCACTTGTTCACACGACGCCTCTTTTCATGGCACATCGGCCAAGAGGAGGACATTTTCAGAGCGTGTGTGAAAGAAAGATGTAAATTAGAAGTTTAAAGACACCAACAGGATTTTCTTTCCAATAAACCTTCTCGGCAGAAAAAAAATGACAATTTAAAGCCAGTAAAATAAACTAAAATAAAAAACATTTTCCAAAGACGTTTGTTCTCATTACAGAAAAGAAAGAATTGCCCTCGGAGCATTGATTCAACACAATGTTTCTGCCAATAATGCACACCACAGCTGCAGCCTCTAATAACGATATTAGCGAGCCACTTAATGCACTAATCAATGCTCTGACCGCTGAAAGGTTCCAGCATCTGCTCGCTCCAGCTGCAGGAACAGCTGGAATGTTTTCAGCATGCCAGCTCCAGGGTTAGCTGTAGCAAAATAAAATAATTTCTGTTCACGAGGCAGGAGGACGTCCAACAAATTAAATTATATTTTGGAATCATCTGCTGCAGTCTGGGCCTCGTTTTAACTAGCATCCTTAAATTTCACTCCTGCCAAGGTAATGAGAGGCAGACTGAAAAGTAAGCCTCAAACAAACAGCCGCTGTGTGAATCTTTAAAATTCTTGAACTGAGAGCTGCAGAAGAATAAAAGAAGAGATTAAAAAGTTTTGGATCTAAACTATAACTGCAGGCTGTGAACGGCATTCTGGGAGGAGCTGAGGGAAAACCACAAGTTGTGCAGTAGTGAGAGGCGCGCTGAGTGAAAGAAGACAAAGATCTGTGATGTTGAATTGCTGTTTATTTTGTGCTGTATTTCCCTCAGAGTAAGTATGTTTCAGTGTTTAGGCCATAGGCGTCGCAACAATTATATGTGAAGAGGACATGCCCCCCCACACACACATTTAACAAATATTCATTTGCACCCCCCCCCACACACACACACACACACACACACATTTACCATGAAATATTCGTTCACCCAGCTCTGTTTTTAACAAATCCATTCCATTTGATCCAAAGTCCACTTCGGGTTTTCCTGGTTACCTACAACAACGCTCCACACTGCATGCAGTTTTCCCCCGAGGTCACTCGCCTCGGCAGGACGCTCATGGGGGGGGGGGGGGGACCCTTCTGTGTTGTGCGCTAACATAGTGCTAACATAATGCTAAATTAGCGCTACATTAGTGCCGGCAGTTGTTGATCGGAGTGGGGTTAGGATGCGTGAAAGAAGCAGAGCACTACATCTGTAACATCTTAGCTAGCGCGTCTGTATGGCGCACTACTAGCTTAGCGCTACGTTAGTTCCAGCAGTTGTCGATGGGACGGGGGTGGCTGTTGGTCAGGCTACTCTAATATAGCTTCTGAATCAAGTTACTTATGTAAACATAGATGTTTAACAGCTTGCTAAAATACACCAGAATGCAGGAAATGGAATCTATTTTATTAATTTTTTTTATGCAGAGGGCCCCCAGACCCCCCACCAGTGTGTGTCCCCCACATTACAAATGCTTCTGACGCCAATGGTTTAGGCACTGACCTCTGATGAAGAGCTGAAATATATTCCTCATTACAGTGTTTGGTTTAGTTGGATAGATGACAAAATCAAATACCAGATGTTTGCAGATGTTGACTGTTTTCACATTTATAAATGTCAACAAAAATTACCTCCATTTATTCCAAAATAAAAACCCTTTTTTAGGGAGTTTAATTGGAAATAAACAGCTTGGACCGTCAGAATGACAGCATGGAGATGCGAGCGTCAGTATGACACACACACACACACATTCTGCACCGCTAATGGAGAACCACTGCAGGAAAAACATAAATAAAAATAAACGTGTTTGGCAACAACTGAAAGTGCAATGCCTTTGTTTAAAAAATGAGCAGACACGACCCACAGGAGGTGAATCATGGATACGTGTTCATGTTTATGCACGAGCGACAGAAAACCATCGACGGATGGATTTGTGACTAAAAATAACCACTGCCGTCTTCTCAGACTTTAGATGAGTTGTTTATCTGGTTCCATCTGTTGTTTGTGAGCAGCAGAAACATCTCCCAGGATAAACTCTGCACTTTTATAGCTCTGCATGTTGCAGCTGAGGATTTAAAACTTGTCCAACAGGAAAAACCCGTTAGATTCCTAAAAGCAAATCAGAGATTTGTGCTTTATAATTTGTGCTGTGACAAAAAAAGTATTAAAATATTTCAGCTGTTGATTTTAAGAAACTCAGGCACAAAGAGACGAGAGATGCACATGGCCACCGTAGTTTTAATCAAACATCTTCTGAAATTAAGAAAGATTGAGCCATTTTGGCAAAACTATGAAAAATAATGTGATAGCAGCAAGATGTCATGTTCAGCACATGTGGTGTACAACTCTCAGCTACTACCACAATAGAATTTAGCACATCTGTAAAACTGACCGAATTACAACCATTTATTGGTTTTTAATATCAGTTGGCTACGGCGGCCATCTTGAAAGAAGCTTACTTCAACAGATAATCAGTTAGATAATTACTTCCTGAAGGTTTCTTAAAAGACTGTCTTGCGGTCCATGTGATATTTTGCTAACAGACAGACCGAGCCGACTCCAGCAGTAATACAAAGTTTTTAAACAAAGTCTTTGTGCATTCGGTTTCTGCTCAGAATGTGTGTTGGGAATTAGTCCCAGCTACTACCACACCAAATATTAGCTCAATATCTGTGAAATGAATAAACTGGCAGCCATTTTTGTGTAATTTAAACTCAGTTAGCTGTGGTGGCCATCTTGAACTGTGCTGACTCAAAACATTAACCAGTTGTTGATGTTTACCCACTGATTATTTCCTCCAAGCTTCATTACATTTTTTCCAGTGGTTCATGAGATATTTTGCTAACAGACAAAAACACTTGAATGAGTAACAAAATTAGACATTATTGTCCACCTTTTAAATAATTGTGCAGCCTACCAAAATTGTTTGAAGAGCAAAACAAGATTAAAACAACACAAAACTCTGACTTTGCAACATTTTTGCTTTAACTCTCCTGCTGCCCTTGGGTCAAAACAACTGAACGGAAGCCTGGGGGGTCATTTTGACCCAAGGGCAGCAGGAGGGTTAAATCTGTAAACAACAAATAACTCATAACACGAGTTCCAGATGTGGACTCCTCAGAGATGACAGCTGTATAACGTTTGAGCTAAAGTTTTTAAATGTTCTCTGCTTGAAGGATATTAAGTGGCTAAAACTCCTTCACGCGCATAGCACGCGCATGTGGGTAAATATTGGGCCTTTTTAGCCACAAAGCAGCGCGGAGCCACAGCGCTTCTGAGTCACACTTTAACCGTTTCAGCGCCGGGTTCTGGCTCGGTTCATAAACCCGACCCTCCTCGCGCTCCAGGCGCGGGGAAACCCGTCCTCGTGCCCCAGTTGCGTGTTTCTCACCTTTGTCCGTCGTCCACGCCGTCTCCGACACGGCGCCGTAGCTCCTGAGCGCGCGCTCTGTGTCCGAGATGGATTTCTTCAGTTCCATGTGGGAGGTGTGTGCACGCGCGCCAGAAACTGAAAGTGAATCTTAGAATAAAAAAATGGAAATTAACAAAAGAGAACCTTCCTCGTGTGTTTGGGTTCTGCTCGACTCGGTTTCACCCGGAGAGAAGCGAACAGAGACCCGCGACGCTGCTGAGCATCTTCAGTGCAGTCTGCAGGTCCGCGAGGATGGAGGGGATGCAGCGCGCATGCGCAGTGCGTGCAGAGATGGAGAGGATGGGAGACGCGCAGTGGCGCTCGGACAAAAGTAAAACAACACGGTCACTGAGAAGTTTGGATTAAAAGAGACACCAAACACGAGGAATCTTTTTTTTTAAGTATTTAATTAAATATATTTAAAATAAGCTATACTTATTTTAGTTTATAAAAGAAAGCTAAAAGATATAACGAGCTAAAAGTAGTGAAAAGTTAGCCTAAAGCAGCAAAATATTAGCTAAATGCCAAAAGTAGCAAAACACGTATAAAGTAGCTAAAAGCTAAAGTAGCTAAAAGGTAAATGTAAAAAAAGGCAAGGTAAAAGTTGGTTGTAAAATGCTAATTGTCAGAAAACATAGATAAATGCATAGCTAAACGCCAAAACTAAATAGTAGCTAAAAGATAATAGCTATAAAAAGAGAAAAAAAGCTACAAGTATGAAAAGGCTAAAGGTAAAAGCTAGAAAAACAGTATCTAAAAGATTATGTAAATGCTAAAAGTAGAAAAAGCTACCTAAAAGTATTGAAAGAGTAGCTAAAAGATAAATGACACTAAAAGTTAAAGTAGACAAAAGTAACAAAAGAGGTAAATGTAACAGCTCGAGCTAAATGTTAAAGTAAAATGCTAACTACAGGCAGCAAAACATTAGCTAAATTCTACAAGCAGCAAAAAGCTAGTACAAAGCTAAAAATAACCAAGAAGTAAGAAAAAAAGCTAAAAATAAATAAATAAAAAACTGCAGGAAGACAAAAACAGAGCAGTAGCTAAAGCAAATTTCATAGAGAATAAAATGTTTGAAGGAAATGATGAAATCCTGATGAAAATATTTTCAAAAGGTAAACATTTTGCAAAGTATAAAAGTTATGAAAACTAAAAGTCATATGCGTCTTTTGAATGAGCCAAACATTTTGATATAGGCACAGCTAAAATAGCATAAAGATTGCAAAAGTTGTTGAATCATCATTTAACAAACAAACTTCAGTAATGTTGAGCTGACGCAGTTCTCTTTAGTTAACCTAACAGATGTTTTTTGTATATTTTCTCAGCAAAAACACAGAGACAGATGGACATTAGTTTATTTATTTCACAATAATATAATTATCCACTGGTGCAAAAATACACACTATTCAGTCAAATCATTCATATAAAATCACAAATACAAAACTTTGCTCAAATTTCTGTCCTCAGAAAGACAGCTTAAATATTTAGACAATAAACAGCTGTTTTTATACTCTTCCTTTGAAGATTAATAAATAACAATTTAGTTAGCTCTGTCATTAAATTATATATCCATACAGCACCTTAACATATAGTAAACAGACAAATTAATATGTGATTTATAATTGGAAAAAAATAAATTAAACATCTGAGACAAAAATTAAAGAAGGAAATGAACTACTCCAGCATGTTCACATTTATAAATTACTCCGCAAACGACTACTTGGAGAGTTAAATCGATGCAAGCAAGTCCCTAAAGCACAATATTTATTGTTTATTAAAACATGACAAACTGACCGGCTGAAAAACGTTAAAAATTACAAATGTAGATGAAAGAAAAGAAACAGGCTGGAAGCATTTTAACGTTCTACATCATCTGTTAGACAAACTGCAAAGTTTACTGGTTTTCCAAACATACTGCAACGGTGAAATGCAGGTACGCACTCAATGTAAACAAAGCACTTTTCTCTGCATTCCGTACCCAACTAGTCTTCCTGTTAATACAACAATACATCAAACTGGACTTTTCCATCTTAAACTCTTTTACGTTTTATTTTTTTGAAAGTGTCACATCACTACAGCATAAGAAAAGCATTTAAACGTTTTAAACCAACCTTTTTAGGAAGTTTTCTGTACCAAGAAAATAAATTACATTGGTCAGAAAACTTATTTTGATTTCCCCAAAGATTCAAACAGGAGGTTTTAGTACAGCCTACTTTATACTTTATGAAGGATCAGGATGTGACAGAGTATGAACAGGTTGATTAACACAGACTAATATTAAAATACAGATTTTATTATATATTATCTTTATTAAGTTAAAAGATTAAGCTAATCATTTTGTTACCACTCCACATAGTAGAGATGAGTTATTGCACATTCAAGTGTCTTAAACGTGAAACATCAATTATACATTCACACCAACAGCAGAGATCCTCATTAATCAGTATATAAAGTATTTATATTCAGTACACACAAAAAAACACAAAATAAACTTGCAGCATTAGGACGGACATTTCAGTGTTACAGAGACGTCAACATCTGAGAGACAGAGCTGCTGTCCCCTGTCCCTCAGAGCAGCTTCTATTCAGCTTGTCTGCCCCCGACAACAAAAACAGCTGATTCTACGACTGTGAAGGTGTAGCTGCTGCAGCTTCTGTCCCCTCACGCTTAGAGTCTGCCGCTGAATCTTCTTTAAGAGGGAACATCCACGCCAGAGCGGCTCCGGCCGTGCCGTCGCCAGCCTGCCGTGAGAAACACAGGAAGATGGCCCAGACGAAGGCGCAGCAGCCGGTGAAGGTGGTTCGGATGTACAGGGGCATCAAGGCAAAGTTCAGGAACTGAGCAAAACACACATTACAGCACACACACACACACACACACACGCACGCACACACACACACACACACACACACACACACACAGAGATACGGGTCAATTACTCTGATTTGTTTAAAAGGTAGTTTGAGTATTTTGTGAGTAAATTAGAAAAGTTTAGAGTTGTGCTCGTTCATATTTGTGTGAACGTTTATGAAGCGTTCGCACTATTTTCATCCATTTTTCTTCTGTACGTTTTAAGGCGTAACTCTCGTCCCGCAGTTTTCAAGCTGTTTCAATCATGTACCAAAACGTTCAGCTCATTAGGAGAAGGGTGCTGTGAGTTTTGGGATTGGTGCAACTTTAGCTCTTTGAAATATTTAGCCTTTTCTGCCATTTTTGTTCTCATAGGAAATGAAATGAGCTCATTTTACATCCTTCAGATCTTTAGATGTGTTTACAACCTTTTACTGCTTCTTTCACATTTTGTTCTGCTTCAGCTTCTTTCCGCTTCCTTGTGCAAATTTAAACTATTTTCCAGCTACTTTCAGCTATTTTCAGCTGTTTTGTGCTTGTTTCAGGATCTTTATGCTAACTACAATATTTTTGTGTTTCTTCAAACATCTTTCTGCTAATTTCAGCTTGTTATGCTCCTTTTATCACATTTATGCTAGTTACATTTTTTTTCCGCTTTCAGCTGCTATTTACTGGTAGCTGTTTTTATGCTAATTTAAGCTTTTTTAGCTAGTTCCACTTTTTTCACTCATTTAATTTTTTTTTTTCAGCCTAATTCAGCAAAATTGTGCTCTCTCCACTACCTTCTGGTAATTTAAGCTTCTTTAATGCTTTTTAGCTATTTTTCAGCTTTTTTCTTTTTTCAGATAATTTCCACTTTTTTGTGCTCGTGTGCTTCTTTCATTCTAATTAGGCAAACGTGTTCTGTCTGCTTTATTTTGCTAGTTTAAGCTTGTTCTACCTTTTTAGCTACTTATTCAGCTAATTTCAGCTGTTTTCAGATAAATTCTTTTTTTGTGTGGTAATTCCTGTTATTTTCATTAAAAAAAAGTTAATTTCAGCTTTTTCTGCTATTTCAGGTATCTGTTCTATGCTAAATTGAGCTTTTTCTGTTAATTTCACTTTTTTTTTAGCTTATTTCAGCTCTTTCCAAGTCCTTCTGATAGTAAGACCCAAAGATGAAGACTTTCTACCGTGTGATTAATTACAAGTTCTGACCAGTTGAGTGACTGGTCAGAACTTTGTTGTGAGCTTGTGAGGGAGTACATCTCAACTGGGCAGCGTAGGGCCTCGTGGGCTCTATGAGCAGTTGGAAACAAATTTTCAAACGCTAAAAGTCACGTATGTCTCAGTCTGCGTTATAAAACAGTCTGGTCGCGTTAATGGAATGACAAATGGATACACTGACAGAAGAGTGGAGACGAGCAGAAAGAAATCTGTTTTGGTGTCTCCAATACTCTCTCATGACTCCAGCTTGAGTGGTGACAGCGGAGGTTCAAGACCATTAGAAGCAGGTGTGCATGGTTACCCGAAGGAAAAATTGCACAATAATCCAAGATCAGAAAACATATGCTATTTATTAATTTCCTTTGACCAATTCTCTGAGCAGGGCTGCGGGGAAGCAGGTGCCTAATTCCAGCCATGAACGAGTGGAGGGTTTACACCCCGGGCAGGCTGTCACAAACCACACCACAACAAACAAGGCCGACAGTCACTCCCTCGCTCACTGACTGACATAATCCGTCCTTTTTGTCTGTTTTCTTTGTGTTCATCTTGTCTTTATTTCATTTCCTGATCCTTGTGTTTGACTCTGTTCCTAGTGTGTGTCTCCCTCTTGTGGTGTATCACAGGTATTGCACCCTCATGTAATTAGATTCTGCCACCACCACTGTTGTCTCTCCCAGCTGTTTGTCATTCGTCTGTCATTAGTGTGTGTATGGTTCCTTGTTACCTGGGCATTGTCTCATGAACGCGCCATGTTCCTGTTCTGCACCACATCCTGGTTTTGTCTCCCTTAGTTTCCTCTCATGGTTAATGGAAGTTGTTGCTGCCACGTCAGCCCTTTTGTTTATTTTTATTAAATAACTTTTACTTTTCAACCCGAGTTCTTCGAGCGCTCCCTGCATTTTGGGTTCAACCACCACCAGATTGTTACACCGACGCTTTAGTTACCATTTAACCTTTAACCTACATGCAGGCTCCTCGCAGAAAGGCGGCAGCTGAGTGTTGAGCTCGCAACCTTCCTGCTGCGAGGCGCCACCGTCAGACGGAGTAAAAAACAGACTTGGCAGGACGACTTGCATGTCCCCATTCGTTTGTGGGAAAGTTGCCTTGTATGAAACCGATTCATGAGTGCATTAAATCGAATTGTACCAACTTATACACAACACTTTTGTAGCTAAAATTAATAATAATAATTTAAAAAAAAAACAGTTGAAGGCCCCTCTGAGCTTTAACACACAGGGTGTATTGAGCCATCCACTTGTGCATATTAACAAATGTGAACAGGGCCTGTCATGCATTTGTCTAACCATTTACTGAGAGGACCTTGGAGCTTTGATTCTCAGCACGTACAAGCAGCCCTACCCACAAACTGTTCAAACTTACCTGCATAAAAGGCCAGAACATTAGTCCTGTCTGAAACGAGAGGAAAAACACAAAGAGTAGTTATACTCAGAGGTAAACTACTTCATCAGCCAACATCCCTCAAAATATTTACAATAAACTCACTTTTACATGTTCAATAACTGTCTTTACTTTCAGGTGCAAGAAACTTTTTTATTTTGTTTTATTCTCAGTTCTTATTGTTAGAACAAGCAGCTGAGTTTAAACGCTCAGATTTTACGTTTTCGAGCCATTTTTGAGCCTAAACACCATAAAGACACCTAAATGTATTAAAATCAAGATATAAGGTTACATAAAGTTTAAAATGGGGTTATAGCGGTTAAAGTTCAATACGCCTGTATGATTAAAACTTTTTCTTTGATCAGTACGGAAAACACCATGTGGTTGATGAAACGTGAGTATCTTTGAAAACAACTGTGAGGTTTTGTAATGAAAAACTATAAGAAACGAAAAGTCACTAAAGTGCAAGATTTTGCTCCACTCACTCTGCTGTCCTCATGTTTGTTGACATATTTCTGCACAAGTAAAACCGTATAAAGGAACGTAAGCAAATGTCTTGAGTTAAAACCTTTTTGAAATGTGGAGTAACTGTGGAATAAACCAGCAAATGTTAGGATTTGTGAACAAGACGCTCCTCGTGCAGCTGTACAAACTGTTCTGTCACTCATCCATGACGTAGTGAGGTTAAAATAAATGGGCCAAAACAGAAAATATCCCAATGTTAATACTCAGCTCTGAATTAAAAAAACAATTAGCATGTTTCAACTACAAGTATGAACCTGATAAAATTCTTTATTTCCGAATCTCAGAACCTCCCACCTTGTACGTATTCAGGAATTTTTTCCTCCAGTCTTCCAAGATGTCCTCTTTACCCTCCAAGAAACTGACGCCTGGACGACACAAGAAATTTCACACATGAATCATTTACAGGTACGGTCAGGCAACTTTGCTTCAGTCCCAGAAATGACTTTAAAACCCTTCAGTAATGCTGCGTTTTCTACATTTTTATCATTTACATGGAAACTTAAAGACTATCTCGTGAAAAATCAACGTTATGAATTAGGATTTCATATCAGAGCTTTAGATTGCACTAAAAGTGTTAAGTCTTGCTTTTATTTTTCCAGATAAATATATATATATATATATATATATATATATATATAAAGCATAGGTGTGTATCCGTACATGTTCTTTATTCTGACAGTGTAGAACATTCTGCAAGAGTTTTTTTTTTTTTTTATGTGTCGTGCTGCATGACTTGAGTCCTCTGCTGTCTTCCAAGCCCGTCTCGTGACTCTGAACTGTGCAGATCCTTCATCGGATGTTGGTGTTTTCCAGTCCGTTTGCTGCTCAGCTTGATGATGCAATCAAGTTGCTGTTTAGTGTGGGCAGAGGAGCCAGGGTGAAACACCGAGGCGGTCAGGACCTGCTGCTGCTCTGTACGACTAGATACACACTTTAGTGGAGATGTTTAGCTTTTTAAACACCCTAGTGCATACATCCTCCTGTGAGTCTTCTTGCTGAACCTTGTCAGTGTTCTGCTCACACTGGGGCGGCTGTGGCTGAGTGGTTAGGACAGTCGTCCTCCGATGCAAGAGTTGGGGGTTTGATTCCACCAGAAGTCACATGCCAAACTGAAATACAGTTTCTGGAGGCTGTCTCATCGTTGTTGGCTATGGAGCCCAGGGTGATGACATCATCATTGTATTTTGTAAGCTTTGCAGTGGGGTCAATAGAGCAAAGATCATTGGTGTAGAGCAAACAGATATGGGGAGAGTACACACACCTCACCTGTTCAGACCTGCAGGTGAGAACGTCTGTAATCAGTTCACAGATGGCAGGAGGGACCTGTAGTTGTTCAAGCTTTGTCCACAGATGGAACGGGATATTACAGAACTCAAATCTGGAAGAGAGTACTGCAGTTTGTCTTCGTGCTGCAGAGGAGAACGAAGGCTGAGACTCACAGCGCCGCGCTCACGGAGCGGTTTGACCAGTAATGGGTCCAGCTGGTGGTCAGTGGTGGTTCTGAGGAAGGATTAAATCAGTTTTTCCAAACACTTTATGAATACCGACGTACGGACTATAGGTTGGCAGTCATTCATACCGTGGCCCTAAGGTGTAAATGAACAACATTTGAAAAAACAGAATTACGCTAAGCCAAAGCGGAAGTGGCCGGATTCACATTAGAAAAAAATGGAATTACATTTGAAAAAAATGGAATTACATTAAGCCAAAGCAGAAGTGGCCGAAGTGGAAATGGCCCGAATCACATTAATAATAATAATAATAATAATGAATTTAATTTGTAACACACTTTTCATTAACAAAAATCTCAAAGTGCTACAGAGTGCAACTAAAATCAATGATAAAATCAGCTAAAATCTGTGATAAAATCAACTAAAATCAATGATAAAATCAACTAAAATCAATGATTAAATCAACTAAAATCAATGATAAAATCAACTAAAATCAACTAAAATCAACGATAAAATCAACTAAAATCAACAATAAAATCAACTAAAATCAATGATAAAATCAGCTAAAATCTGTGATAAAATCAACTAAAATCAACGATAAAATCAACTAAAATAATGATAAAATCAACTAAAATAATGATAAAATCAACTAAAATCAATGATACAATCAACTAAAATCAATGATACAATCATGTGGAGGCAGAATAGGCTTGCTTAATAAGAAAAGTCTTTAAGCCTTTTTTAAAGTCAGTCAATGATTGTGGAGCTCTCAGATAGTCAGGGAGGGAGTTCCAGAGGCGGGGGGCAGCCACACAGAATGCCCGATCTCCCATGATCCTTAATTTAGTTTGTGGAAGGTGGAGGAGATGACTGTTCTGTGATCGTAGGGACCGGGTGGATGAATATGGAGCAAGAAGGTCCTTCAGATAATCTGGTGAATTTCTGTATAAACAGTGATGAGAGCAATTTTGTATTGAATTCTGTAGGTGACAGGAAGCCAATGGAGATTATGGAGAATGGGTGTAACATGTTCAAATTTACGAGCTCTCAATAAAATCCTGGCTGCATTGTTTTGAATATATTGAAGCTTCTGAAGGTTTTTGCCAGAGATTCCAGTAAACAGGGAGTTGCAGTAGTCGAGCCTGGAGGAGACAAAAGCATGAACGAGTTTCTCTGCATCAGCAAAAGTGAGAGATAGATGAAGTTTGGAGATATTTCGAAGATGGAAGAAACAGGTTTTAAACAGATGCTTAATGTGATTTTCAAATGTAAGATGAGAGTCCATTTTTATTCCAAGATTTGTAACAGAGGTGGAGAGGGGGATGTCTTGTCCAGAAAAGGAAATAGTCGTTATAGATGAGGTTTGAACCTGGTGAGGGGTGCCAATCAGTATGGCCTCTGTTTTGGAGCAGTTTAACTGAAGAAAGTTCTGATTCATCCATGCCCTTATCTCCTCCAGACAGGTAGAGAGGGCAGCGAGTGAAGATGGAGATGACAGTGGTGAAGATGATGCTCCAGTCCTGATGTAAAACTGTGTATTGTTGGCATAACAGTGAAAAGAAATGTTGTACTGATTAATAATTTGACCTAAAGGTAACATGTAAAGGGAAAATAGCAGGGGCCCTAAAACTGAGGGACACCACAGGAGACACACATTAGAAAAAACAGAATTACATTAAGCCAAACAGGAAGGTTTTTATTTTTTTAACTTTATTAACAGCATAAAACCACACAATATACACACAACAGAGATACAGTTAGCAGACTATCCTTTTCACTGTATCCCCATTGTGTGTGTACTGTATATTGTTCTGTTGTTCAGTTTTCTGCTGTTAATAAAGTAAAAATAAAAATACAAAAATTCCTGTTTGGCTCAATGTAATTCCGTTTTTTTTTCAAATGTGATTCCGTTTTTTCAAATGTTGTTCATTTACACCTTAGGGCCACCGTACATTCAGACTAAATCATGACTTTGGCTCAGTGCCGAGGGTAAAGGTGGAGGAGGGGAGCAGAGAGGAAAAGCATCCGTCAGACTTATCACATATATGATAGAGCTGATTAGAGGGTGGGGCAGCGGAGGTGTGTATACCTTTGCGGATCAAGGTATTGAGAGTGGAGGCTGATTCAATCTTAACTCCAAACTCGTGCTTTGCAGATTTGATGACCTTCTTCAGCTGCTGTCTTGCTAACCTCTGAGTCCATATTGCCCTCCAGCTCTTTAAGTTTGGTGGTAACAATAAGCTAGCACAGGTACACTGAGTAAGAGTGTGACAACAGACAGTGAAGAGGAAATTGCTAAAAGCGTGCAAGTGATTCTCTCACTGAACTTTTAAAAGATGCAAACAGGATGAAACAGTGAGTTTTAGTTCGTTGCAAGTGGCTCGGATCATTAGCAGCAGAAAACTGAAACGATGAAAAGCCGAAGGAAGTGCGTGCTGAAGGGATGTTGTGTGCTGGTGCATCGTTACGCCAGCTGATGTTGATGTAAAAACACCGCCCCGCTCCTCTGGTTTTCCCCTCGCCTCCTGCGTATCTCGATCTGACTCCATCAGCTAATACCCTTGGAGCTCCACCATCGTGTTGTCGGTTCCATCGTGTAGCCAAGTTTTACAGAAGAACAGGGCAGAAGGTCTCTGGAGTACTTGGACCGCAGTAACAGATCAATCCAATCTAATTTGTTGCACAGCAATCTCACACCGAACATGCTTATTGTAGGTAGCACCACACGATGTCCTCCGTCCACTCCACTTTACAAGACTCTTTTACCTCTGGTTGTTGTCGTCCTGATGAGGACACTCAGATCTATCTATATACACCAGCAAGACGACAGCCGCTAATTTTCTTCAAAGGACAAAAAAAATCCAGAAAAAAAAAACAAAGCATTGATTTCCTGATGGTTAAAAAGTCTATACCGATCATAACAGCAACACATTGAGGATAAAAGTGCAACAAGTAGTTTATAGTCATAGAAAATGCATAAAAACTGAAAGATTGAACGTACAATGGGAAAAAACAAACACTGCTGCCTGCTCTGATGGGCTGCACCGAAAAAAGCCTCACACCATCAAAAGGCATGTTACTGTAGCAATAATTTATTTAGCTCTCGTTAAAGTGGGGCACCAGCTGGTCAGTGTATCTGTTACTAGTTACTTGTTACATGTTATAGTTACTAGTTATGCACTGTTAACGCTTGTTATTCAAAATCTTACTTCTAACCTACAAAGCTCTCAACAACCTAGCTCCATCTTATATTGCAGATCTTATTGTTCCATACTTTCCCAACAGAGCACTTCGCTCTCAGACTCCAGGTTTACTCGTGGTTCCTAGAGTTTCCACAAGTAGAATGGGAGGAAGATCTTTCAGTTCTCAGGCTCCTCTCTTGTGGAACCAACTTTTAGATTTTGTCCGTGAGGCTGACACGTTGTCTACTTTTAATATTGAGCTTAAGTTTATCCTTTGTTATAAATCCTATAGTTAGGGTTGGCTTGGGTTTCCCTAGTTATGCTGCTATAGGTTTATACTGCTTGAGGACAACTTGACCACATTGAAAGTTTTGAATCCATTATTTAATATAGTGTCATACATAATTAAACAATTTAATAAACCCTTTCATACCTTTGCCAGTCTTACTGCCGTGATGCGTTCACTGACCTGTGTAAAAGACGCTGGTAGCCAGGGGCGCCGCCGTCGTCTGGTCCAGGAACAGCTTCTTCATCACCATCCTGACGGAGTTTCCGGGAAATCTGCGCTCCAGAAAACGCATCCAGAAGAAACTGAAGTTGCCGTGGAAACTGAAGGCGACCACAGCGATGTTCCTCGTCTGTTTCCAGTCCATTTCGTCCCGCATTAAAAACCACTGGTGGACCAGGTCTCCACCGGCGAACAGGGAGCCGTACAGTGAGACGTTCGCGACCCACGGGAAACGACGGACGTGTTTCAGAAACGCCTGAAGCATAATTTTATCCGCGGGTAAAAACTAACATCAACCAGGGTACAATGTGTTATTTTTGGTCGGCTGTGATTCTCTCTTTATCTGAAGGACTTAGCATGACTAAAGGAACACTGTACATTTACTCCCATATCTAAAAAAAACAAAACAAAAAAACACTTCGATACAAAATAAATAAATAACATATATTTCCAAATGACTAAATGCTATAAGGTACTATAATTTAACACAAGATGCCCTTCTTGGTTGTCAAACTCATTCAGCACACTGCACGAGCAGCGGTCCACCTGTCCAGGTTAGTTTTTTTTTTTTTCTGCGTACTTACGTAATAATATTTTTACGTAAAAAATGAAAGTGGGCGGAGCCGAGCGGTTCACCTGAAGTGACTGTGTTGGAAATACTGCAGCCACAAAGTTACTTTTATTCAAGATTGACCCGCTTGGTTCACATAAAAAAGTCAATGTTTTTAATAAGTAAAGAAGTTTTGTTTCAAATTTGTAAAACTAATACTGGCAAGTGGAGTGTATTTTATTATTTTTTTTTATCTTTACAGGTCTCTGTTGTAAATGAGTCCTCGTGACACAATGAAACTGTTTAAATAAAGGTTGAATGAATCTGATTCAGAATATCATTTGTACTAAAAGAAAAGCTTCTGTTTTCCTCTTAATTGTATTAGTTGTCACATGACAAAGTGATGGCATTTTGTGTCAAATGATGTAAAGGGGCCCAGAGTGGGGCAAATGAGGGTGGAGGCAGGTGTGGGTGTTTCACATTTTCCACCAACATTTTGATGTTGTCAGTCTGGGGAGTTGAACCTGCAGCCTTCCGATCACAGGCCTACCTTCTCTAACCTCTGCACCACCATTCCCTCACTTTTGTGTAACATATATTTTAAGGAAAAATAATTTTGGACAGAGTTTTAACTTAAAACCCATTGAGAAGCGTATTTAGCTTTACATTTGTTCAGAGATGGAATCTCATCTAAAATCTGTGCCATCATGTAATACTCTTCATCAGGAATGGTGGCGCAGAAGTTAGAGAAGGTGGGCCTGTGATCGGAAAATCGCCGGTTCAACTCCCGGTACTGACAACATCAAAATGTGCGTGGGAAAGGTGAAATATCCACACCTGCATCCACCCTCATTTGACCCATTCTGGACCCTTGAGCAAGGCTCTTAAGCTCCCCCAGGTGCCCTAGATGGCAGCGCTCTGCTCCACACAGAGGGCTATGGAAGCTAGGTGGTCTGTGGTTGCGTCAGGAAGGGCATCTGGCATAAAAATAATTGCCAAGTCTTTCGTGCGACTTAGTTCGCTGTGGCGACCCCTGAAGAAGGGAGCAGCCGAAAAAAGTTATATACAGTACTTTATCGGAATGTCTGGTTCCCCAACAGTTTTACGTAGGAATCCCACAGGCTAATGGCAACCACGATGAGGTAGCAACCAAGTACAGAGATTAAGGCAGATCCTGAAGAGCCAGTTGAATGGCAATAAAGTATGAGCCATTGACACATTTACCAGTGATCAGATACCCAGCTGGTATATTAGTCTGGCCAAAGGAGGAGATAGAAACCACAGACATCAAGAATTGAAAGCTCCTCACAATGCATGGAGGGGTTTCACCGTGACCATACACTGAGAGAAAGGAGAGAGGCGACTTGTGAGCATCCAAGCTACAGGACAAGCAACTCAAATCCTGGAGTACGTCAGGAAGATAATGATGAACTGTTAGGGAATTGGCTAAGGCAGCAGAAACCCAATGTAGAAGATGAGCAGAAACAAGAGGAGCCATCATGGAAAGATAAGCCCCTGCATGGCATGTACCATTGGCAGAGTGAGGAAGTGGCTGATATCAACAACTCCTACTTGTGGTTTGAGAGGGTTGGACTGAAGGACAGCACAGAGCATGAGAGTCTGGAGTCTGTTGTACCAGACAGGTCTCAAGGTACTGGTTAAGACAGTCCAGCACAAACACAGCAGGGTGTAAGATCCAAGCAGGCAAAACATGTGGAACATCACACCCAAGTGGCTGTAACAGTGTACAGGAACATCAACCAAGTATAGATTGGAAGTCCCACAGTCAAAGTGGGAAATGCCACCAAGGGTGGTGGAGAATGGCAGGGCTAAGATACTGTGCGTTCCAGATCAAGACTGACAAACAGGTGATGAGACCAACCGGACATTGTGGTGGTCGACAAGAAGGAGAAATACCAAGATTCTGAAAGAGGGGATAGAGAAGTAGTGGAAAGTCAACGTTTTGGTGGTGCCAGTGGTCAACTTGATGCTGTGACCCCCAAACTGGCAGAGTGGCTCCAGCAGATCCACCTCAGAGATCTCTGTCCAGAAGAGAGCAGTCTTATGAAAAGCTATAGGAAATCTTTGGCGTGCTTATCTTATTATTTAGCTAAAGTTTTTCTAACTTTAGCTTTTTATTTATTTACTTGGTTGTCTTTTTGGGAGGTGGTGCAGAGGTTAGAGAAGGCAAGCCTGTGATCGAGGGGTCGTTGGTTCAAATCCCCCTGGTCGCATTATCAGAACGTGGGTGGGAAAGGTGAAGCACCCACACTTCTCCACCCACACTTGCTCCACTCTGGGCCCTTGAGCAAGGTTCTCAACTCCCCCGGGCGCCCTCAATGACAGCCCGCTGCTCCACAGAGGGCTGTGGTAGCTCGGCATCAAAGGGCTTCCAGCTTAAAAACAATTGCCAATTATTTCATGTGAATTCACTCGATGTGGCAGTTCTGAAGAAGGTAACAGCCAAAAGAAGCAGTAGCTTTTAGCTGTGGCTTTGCTAACTTTAGTTTCTGTTCTGCTTAACTTTAACAATTCAGTTTCAGGTTGAGTATTCACCCTGCATTTTCTTACAAATACTAGTTTTTCTAGCAGAGCTGGTATTACAGCAAACAGCTCCTTTAAACTCCATACGTTTGTGACATTGAAAACAGAATCGCCTCCAACCTTCGACCATTTGCATTTATTTTGCAACAAGGTATATGCTTAAAGCACATTACCACCTCTCAAATAATACAACTTATATTAAAAAAAAGGTCATATATTTAGATTATAACTAGTTTAGAATAATCAAAACTGGTAAAACTGAATTTCATTGCCATCAACACGGATTTACATAACTCCTAATATAAGAATGATCTGCACATGTGCATCGTCTGAAACGAAGACATTTATTGTTACATGTACAGCAGCACGTGAAGAAGGACATAAATTGTATGCAACATTTTATAAGGTGCATTTAGGCAGAAAAAAACAAACATTTTTACAATTTCAGACATTTGTAATGTTTTAAACAAAGTGCCAGGAAAATATTACCGTTATATTGTTTCCACACCCAATTGACCACCCACAGGTATTTCTTACCTGGTCAAACTACGTGTCTGGTTTTTAAGGCCTTTAAAATTCTTGAATAAACATCAAAAGCACAATTTTTAGTTCGACCTTCAAAATAATAAAAGCCTAAAGGCTGCAGTCACTGACTCTTTGAATCTCTGTACTGTATGGTTCTGTCTAATTTACTGGTATAATACCAAAGTCATATTTGCCTACCGTCTTTTTTTTTTTTTTTTTTAAAGTCTGATTTTTTTTTTGGCACCAGAGTTGCTCACAATCAGAGGTCAAGTAATTTTTTTTTACACTGAACCTCCACTTTGGACATGTTTAAGTAGCCACTGTTTAAAACCAAAGAAAAAGATAAGTTTGACGTAAAATAAGAAAAGTGTTTCACACAGTTCATTATAATTCAAAACAAACCGCCCCCCCACCACCACCACCACCAATGTACAGCAACGCAGCAGGCGGTGTAAGGTGCAGACTTATTAACTTATAGGGGTGGAAATAACCGTTTTAAATCACAAATAAGATTTTGACAGAACCAGAACAGGATCACAGTGAACGTATACTGACGGTGGATGTGAGGGTCACAGTGTTTCCTTTCAGCTGAGAGGCAGAAACGATGAGAGGAATCAGTGAAAGTGAAGTCTATGGCTGGACGAGCCTCTCCCAGTCCCCGTTCTGGTTCCTGTGGTAGAGCTGCGGCTGACCATCTGGAAACAGGATGTCAGAGTACGGGTGCGCCAAAATGAACCGGATGGTGGACTTTATGTGCTGGACAAAATGTGGCGGCTCAGCCATCGGAGAGGTGGACAGGTACTAAAAATAATATTAAACAGAAATGAAAAGATGCCGGAGTTAAAGTCTGTTTTATGTCACATAGCGATTTAATAAACAAACGGGACATCGTCTTCAGGGTAAACACTTCCCAAACTAGAAACATTACCTTTAAAATGGTGTCATCGTCCTGTGACAACCAGAAGGCAATATCCATATTAGGGGACCACAAGCACGGGCCAAGTTTAACAAGTCCACGGCTCGAGTCATATATGTCAACCATCTGCGCAAAACAAGAATCATTTTAATAAAAGTCGCAGCATTCAGTTCTGTCCCCTGAAAATGTGCCTGCAAATGTCTGAACATTCACATCGTTATATGCTAAATTACATCCAGGGCTTAAACGGTAACAAAACCATCACCTGAGAACGTTTGGTCCAATCGGTTAATACAAAAATATTAAAATGGTCACAGATTTACCAACAAAACTACAGTAATATGAAGTAGTTTCCACGCAAACATGCTCTAAACGAGCCTTAATCAGAAAAAGTTATAACAAGTTATTATTTTAACCTTAACTTTTATTTCAATACAGAGCGCAATCACTTATTTTTGCCTTTATTTTTTTAAAAAGCGTAAAAAAAAAATGCACACGAGTAAATCACTGAACTGATTAAAACAATGTTCCTTAAAGAAAAACACAAATAAATTTGAAATGTTGACCTTTCACAATAAATATATTATGTCTTAAGGGCAAAAGCTTAAAAACAGCTCCTATCAGCTCCTTTAAACTTCATACGTTTGTGACACTGCAAACAGAATCGCCTCCAACCTTCAACCATTTACATTTATTTTGTAACAAGTTTCACACAATGCTTAAAGCATCTTGTTTCAGGATCCAAGAAAGTAAAAGTCAATAAAAATAAAAATCATTTTCCACACCATCCCAACTTTCAATGAAATCTCACGCAACAGAAAATCTTTATTAGACAGAGTACCTTTCCTCCAGTGAAGGTCCTTGCTGATCGCAGCTCCTCTGCAGGTCCTTTATGAGGGAAGGAGGCAGGAAACACTTCGCCCGTTTTAACATTTATGCCTGAATAAAACCAAACAATCAACTAAAATGTTACAAATACCACAGCAGCGCAGCAGATTAAACCTCTGTGGCACAACTGCAACTCACCTATTCCATAAATAATTGGCCTTTGAATTCCATTTTCAACAATGCTGTTCATCTCTACGAGACAAGCTTCATTAGGTGAAGGTTTACTGTGTAAATAATATAAACGCATTAAGGATGGTTTAAAAAAAAAATACCCGTGACGCAACAAGTTTCCAGATGAATTTCCTCCTTCTGTTTCTGGAACGCTGCTGCAAAGGTAGAAAAAGACAGATTTAAATAAGACAAAGCTCAGATTCTGTTCAGGAAAAGTAAAAAAAAAAAAGTCACTTTGACTGATTTTTACCCAGTATGTTAAGGCTGAGTTTACGAGACGTTTCAGCGTCATCGTTAAATCCTCCGACGAGATGGAGCTCAAACCTGCACATAGGAAAGGAAGAGCAACAAGAGCATATCCATAAATGAGACTTGAAATTACTAAAAAACATCAATTTTCTTAATACGCTTCTCCTTTTCTCAAGTCCATCACTAAGACACAGAGACACGAGACAAACAACACTCTCATTCACACCTAGGGACGATGTAGAGTCACCAATCAGCCCAACGTGCATGTTTTTGGCTTGTGGGAGGAAACGGGAGTACAGTAGTCCCTCGCTACTTCGTGGTTCGTTTTTTCATGGACTCACTCTATCGCTGTTTTTCAAAGTAAGATTGGACATGACACACAAGTGGCTGATTGATGGATGAGCCGCGCCATCGGCATGGATTTTTTTACTTTAAAATAAATTATTTTAAATTATTTAGCACCTGCTGCACCTTTGTGCAGCCCACAGCTGCAGGAGAAGCTTCTTCATGCAGCTGTCAGATCTCCGCTCTGCAGCAGAGAAGTGGGCGTGGCCAAGAGCGCTGGCAGAGTGCAGAGTGCAGCTGGAGGCAGTGAGATGAAATCATGACATTCTGTGCTCTTTTAGAGTGTTTGGAGTTTAGAAACATTGTTTAGAACATTGCAAGAGTGTGGGAAGGGTTTAAAACACTATATATATATAGATATATATCTATATATATATATATATAGATATATATATATATAAATAAACTAATACTGTATTTTTCAGCCTACAAGTCACTTTTTTTGCATAATTTACGTCCTACAACTTATAGGCCGAAGCGACATAAAATTGAACAGTACCATTTCAGCCACTAGATGGCAGCAGAGTAGTAGTACCTGTATGGCATGCCGTTGTATCATGTAATAGGTAAACGTGGCTATATTCAAAAAAGTTCAAAACAAAAACAACTGGACTTTATTGGTTATACTTTATACTTTATTGTTTTTGTCTTTAACTTTTTGAATTTACCATGTCCTGGATGACTGAGAATCTTCGCCAGCTATTAATGACACAATCGGCTTGCCATATTCCCCAACTTTCGTTCTGCTCGCTGCTCGGAGCAAGTCAAACCAGCTGCACAGCGCCATCAAAATGCAGCTAATTTGACCATTAAAGTGCATTTATTAAGTAAAAGTTCAACTGAGACACACCTTTGCTATAATTTCAAGCAAACAAATAATTGTTTTAGGTGCTTTTCTTGTTAAATTTCGAAGAAACGAGCAGCGTTCCTCTTTTTTTTCCCCTCCCTCTGCGCTCTCCCGGAGCACCGAGGCAGCGAATACAGCTGATTTGACAAAGTCTTTTTATTAAGCAAACGTTAGCCTGAGACATAGCTTTACTATAATTTCGAGAAAACAAATAATTGGTTTAAAAGTGTTAATCTTGTTAAATTCTTGTTCAAGTCCTCCTGTGCACGCTCCGACAGTTGCCATTTGGCAGCCCATCGATTTTTGCCACAACACCGGCCCACATTACCGGGTTGTCAGTGGCGACGCGTAACAAACGCGACGTGTCAGCGGTGATGTATAATAGATGTGACGTATACGGCGAAGCGACGTGTATGGATTTTCCCACTTTTTTAGCCATATTTGGACTAATGCAACTTATAGGGCGGTGCGACGGGTACGGTGGAAAATATGGTACTTACTACTTGTACGACAATTCCTACTTCACAGTTTTGCACTTATTGCAGGGCTTCAGGGTATGGATCCCCCGTGATAAACAAAGGACTGCTGTACCCAGAGAAAACTCAAACCTTCTGCAACCTTCTCATAGGGAGGCGACCGCTCTAGCCATTGTGCTGCCCTATAATTAAAAAATAAAACTTTTAAAACTTTTAAATGCATGTCTGTGTCATACCTGCCCTCCTTACCAACTTTACTCAGCGACGCAACAGTTTTCACAACGAGCAGAACCTCGGACCAGGTGCTGGATCCGTCACAGTGAGCAAGGCAAGCGGCTCCACTACCTAAAAAATAAATACCGTAAATAATTAAATCATGGCAGGCACAGCTCATTTATATGGAACAATGAGATACTCAAAATTAAATAAATAAATTAAGCATTATGAAATAAGAAAAACTGGCTTATTTATTTCATAAATGTGTTTTTCAAGGCTTATTTATTTCATAATGCCACTTTTCAGCAGAATGACTTCAGCTGTCAATCAATGTCAGTGGATTGGATCCTAGTGGATCAACCAATTTGTCGTCGACATTCAAAACCAGCTGCTCACATGATCAAGGAGGACCATCAGCCTAACGATAGATCATTAGCACCCTGATGGCTACTTGCTATTCACAGGGGTCTGAGTAATACTAGAAATAACAGCAGATGTGAAGGATCAGCCAGTGGGTGTGAAGGTCCAACCCACTGATGTTGATTGACAGCTGAAGTCATTCTCCTGAAAAGAGTCATTATGAAATAAATAATTGAAAAACACAATGATGAAATAAACAAGCCAATTGTTCTTATTTCATAATGCTTTATTTATTTCATTTTGAGCATGTCGGTGTTCCATACATTTACTTCTACATAATTGTAAACTAAAAACACAGCATGCGTTTGGTGGAGGGACTGTCACCGGTGTGTCGTAGGATGACCACATGGCAGGTGGTAGCGTCATCCGATCCGAGGACTGAAACACTGTCTGAAAGAGATTAAACAAAGCAAGAGGCTGTTATAGATCAAATAATTCAGACAAGGTAACAAATGTTTCACTGAGTCGCATTCAGAACAGGGCGACAAAAGCTGTTTCGATGTTATGTAGTGATGCTGGCTAACGCTGTGAAGAAAATGCATGACTCATTTGTTTCCTTGGTACTTGTGACATCATTGAGTCTTTCTACTGGGAGGCCTGCCCCATAGCTCACACGAGGAAGCCTTTGGAGGTGGAGCATAATAAAACAAATCTTTTAGCTGGGTAGTTGTGAAGCTTTAATTTAATTAACGATAAACGTGCTGCATAGAAAGCTCTCATGACAGATAACAGGTCTAAAATCCATCGAGATGATAACTAACAATGGACAAAGACTGCTTATCTTTATTTCAAAAGTATCCTCCAATAAATTAAATCAAACTGCTGCTGAGGTGATGTATTGTAGTGGGTAGGCTACAATGTGGGTGGGCAATGAAATGATATGCAAGGCCAAGAATATAGTTTTGCAACTGTGCACACAAATGTAGGCTGTGATTTTCAGAACTGGCCACTCAAAACACAGACACATGGCTCGCTGGCTGCAAACACTCGAGAGTTCAGAGAGACTGCAACAAAAAAAAATTGTCTTTTTGAGTCACCAACAGTGAGATACTACCTACAGATATGTAGTTTTACTACATCCAGGATTTTATTTTTCATCATATTTGGATTAAATGTAGACAAACAAACTACTAGGTTAGGTTAAGAGCTGCATCGTAGTTTGGATTAAAACTTACATTTTTAATATAGTTGTTTTTAAAATGTGAACTTTGAGTCAGAAAGACTTTTAGTCAAAAATACATTTGTCAGAAACTTCAGTAAAGTATATATTTCCACTTACTTCTAATTCTGGGTAACAAAAATAAAACAAAACATTCCTCAAATCTAAAGTTTGGTTGAACTTTTCGAAGCAATTCATCAACAGAGAACCCACTGGGCTCCAAACCTTGTGAGTTTAAAACTTTATTATGCAGGTTACATTTTCCCAGTAAGTCATAAGAACTGGGTGGTTAAATAAAAGCCCATGAATGGACAGCAATCATGTAAATGTAGGGAAATGTTTTGTAGCGGTGCTCACCGTCTGCTGGTGTTGTTGCTGCAAGCTCTCGTTGCTGAACGTACAGGAGGCACTTTGGGTCCACGTTAACAAGAGGCCTGGAGCGAAATGCTCTCGCATTTTCCTGTAAAAGGAAGGATGTATACAAATGTAAAAGTCTTTAATGTGACTGAGGTATGTCACTGTGCAAAAGTTTCAAACAAGTCCTAATTTTGTCAAACCCTTGGTTTCAAGGAGGAAGATTTTCTTGTGCTTTTTATTAATAGTTCCTAGAAAGTTTTTCTTTGTAATTTGACTTTCTTTTTAAACTAAATTCCACAATTTTACAGCATATTGTTCAACGTGTTCATTGAAAAAATTTTAGAAAGAACACAAACGGAAGACAAAATAGGAAGACTCAGGTCTTTAAAATGCTTTACACCGGATGAAATGTCTGAAAGTTGTATCTTTGACAAACAGAAAAAGGTCCAGTAAAGACCTGAAGCAGGACCTGAGAGATCCACCATTCTGCAGTTGATCATCTTGTATGGCATGTTTGAGATAGATTAATCTTATTGGAGCTAAATACCATTATATGTGCTAAACTATGTCTTCTTTCATCTTTAGCAACAACAACAACAAAAAAAATCTAATAAAAACTTGAACTAATTCTGATGACCTGTGAGTAACAAAGTTTGGAAAGATACTAAATTAAATGTGTTGTTTGTTTTTTTTGCCACTTTGTTGAAATGGTGTTAAATCCTAGAGTCCGTGAACCTTTTCAGGCTTGAATGAGACATAGGTCTGAGATAAGTAGCCTAACATTTATTCCTCTGAGTAATGGTCAGGCTCAGCTACTTGAAAATGAGTGAAACGTCAGCCAAAGTCCAAATGAAAACTTAAAAACATCTTCATAGCACTTGGAGAATTATTGCACAAGAGAACTTCAAAAGATTTAAAAAAGTCTAGCTGCTTGAAGAGCATAAAGGAACTAGAAAATCTGCATTTTTCTGTGAAAACGCAGTGTAGGGCAAGCTAAAGGCTAAAGTAGCAAAATGGTAGCTAGATGCTAAAAGTAGTAAAAGATTAGCAAAAAGTCCAAATGAGCAAAACACTAGTGAAAAGCAGCAAAAAGTGGGTAACATCTGAAAGTAGTAAAAGACTAGCTAAAGACTGAAGTAGCAAAAATCTTTTTATTTAGATAAATTAATGGCTAAAACAGTATGCAGAAGTGGTTTAGAGTGCAAAAAAATGTAAATAAAATAAAGAAAAAACAAAACAAAAAACAAGAAAACAATCATTTGATTTAATAACGTAGATATTAAGTCAGCATTCACACAATTAGACAAAAGTTTTGCACACACAACTTGTTCTAATTAGCTTGCATCATGTGTACTTAATATTTAACTAAGTCTCAGGTAGTGACAAATTATGCTTTTAATACCAACTGAATTAGTGTTTTGATGATTGCACAAAGAACAGTAACGTGATCCAATTTGTTTTAGATGCAAACGAAGCGATAGATAGATCGAGTTTTAAGCGAAACGTTCACAAGTTAACTGGCGAGGTGAAATGAAGTATTTTTGAACAGAATGAAGCCCCACATTCACCAACCTGTAAATGTGGATAATTTTCGAATAATTCCGCTGTCGATCTTAGCCGATCAAGCTCCTTACTCTGAATTAACAAAGGCATCTCCTTGTGCTACATCTACCATAAATTAGCTTGTTTACATGCTATAACTTCAGAATGCCTTCTATTCACTTTCTCCGGCAGTCAACTATTGACTTGAATTTCCGGGAGGAGGACCGTTGTCTTCTTCTTCTTCTTCTTCGTTTAGCCACTTGACGCAGCGATACGGCGCATTATCGCCCCCTATCGCAGTCATGATTTACATTCTTGTAATTCTTTTAGTCCTTTTTCTTGTTTACCAAAGCAAAATGAAGACACGTTTCCAGACGAGCCTCTTTACATTTAACTATGGTTTAATTTTAAAGTTTAAAGCTTATGTTTTCTCCCGTAAATGACATTATTTTCGAGAAAGCTCGAAGCGCGAACGTTTACGTATTCACCATACTGTTTTAA